CAAGAAGATGAATATCAAGAACCCTAGCATCCGCCCAGCCACAATGCCTTTGATGGGATTCTCGGGTCACACCATTATTCCAACAGGAATAATTAGCCTCCCCATCTCGGTAGGATCGCACCCTAGGACGGTCACTTTAACCATGGACTTCGCTCTGATAGATGCGCCCTCACCGTTCAGCGTGATTCTGGGATGACCCTGGATGTGCCAAGCACGTGCAGTCTGATCTCCCTATCACCTAGTAATGAAATTCCCGACAAAATATGGAGTTGGAGTAGTACAAGGATGCCAGCGTAGCTCTCGAGAATGCTTGCTCACAGCAGTCAAAATCGGAAAAAAGACCACGCACCTTAATCCGAGTGCTGCTGCGTCGGAGTGTTACTCAATCCGACAAACATCCATACCACCACAGACTGAGGATCCCGAGACCTCCAATCTCCCACCGCTCAGCAGTAAGACACGGGAGTTGATCCTGAGCGAGACTGACCCCGCCAAGACCGTTCAAATCGGCGTTTCTCTCCGCGACCCATTGCTAGACGAGGTTAGCGCCTTGCTACGTGAATACCGCGATATATTCGCTTGGTCTTTGGCGGACATGACAGGAGTTCCTCGAGAAGTTATGGAACATAAGCTAAATGTCAACTCAAACGTCAAACCGGTGCAGCAGAAGAAAAGGGTATTAGCTCGTGAATGCAATGATATCATCAATGAAGAAACGATGAAGCTAGTTTGTGCCAACATACTCCGAGAAGTTCTATGGCCCACTTGGTTAGCCAACCCTGTCTTGGTGCGAAAATCCGATAATTCTTTGCGCATGTGCCAAGATTACACTGACCTCAACAAGCATTGCCCCAAACACTGTTACCCCCTACCAGTCATAGATCAGATGGTGGAGGGTATCGCCGGGTACAGAACCCTCAGTTTTCTCGACGCGTACAAGGGATATCATCAGATCCTCATGGCATGAGAAGATGCAGAGAAGACAGCTTATATCACCGAGATCGGGGTTTATTGCTATGACAAAATGCCCTCTGGACTAAAAAACGCAGGGGCAAAGTACCAGCGTCTCGTGAATAGAACCTTTCGTGACCAAATCGGCCGAAACATCGAGATCTACATGGATGACATGGTGATAAAGACAAACGAGGACGAGCAAGTAGCTGCAAACATACGAGAGATCTTCACGATCTTACGCAAAATTAACATGAAGCTAAACCTTAAGAAATGTACTTTCTGTGTTGGGTCAGGAAAATTCCTAGGGTTCCAAGTTTCCAAGGATGGAATCAGCGTCGATCCAGCAAAATTGAGGTCATTTGGCCATGGAAGCGCCAAACACCGTCAAAGAAGTTCAAAAACTCACAGGCTCCTTGGCAGCTCTAAACAGATTCCTCTCTCGAGCCACGGAGAGAAGCCTTCCATTCTTCCATACCCTCCGCAAAGGTAGAAAATTCGAATGGAACGAAGAATGCCAGAAAGCCTTCCAGGATCTGAAGGAACACATTAAGCAGTTGCCCACATTAGCTAAGCCAGAACTGGGAGAAACTTTATATATTTATCTGGCATCTCGAGAGAAAGCCATCTCAGTCGTGCTCGTGCAAAGCAACGATGGCAGAGAAATCCTCGTCTACTTCGTCAGTAAAGTCTTGCAAGGAACAGTAACCCGCTCTACTCCCATGGAAAGACTCATCCTCAGCCTGGTCTTAGCCGCCCGACGCCTGCGCCCATACTTTCAAGAACACCCCATCATGGTTTTGATAGAACAACCCATTCAGCAAGTCCTACTCAAGCCAGAGGCCTCCGGCAGGATGATGAAATGGGCAGTCGAACTGGGCAAACACCACATCGAGTACAAACCACGAGCACAAACCAGAGGCCTTCGCGGATTTCCTGGTAGAAATACCTCGAGCTGTCGACGTCCTGGAAATTATGGAACCTAAGGACGATCCTGCTACTCATGTAAACATCAACCCTCGAGCCTGGTTACTATACATCGACGGCTCTCGTTGTGATGAAGGGGGAGGGGCTGGTATCATATTAGCCAAACCTTCAGCTGACCCCGACATCGAAAGAATGAGGGAATATGACATGGAATACACATATGCACTAAGGTTTGGATTCCCGGTCACCAACAACGTGGCCGAGTATGAAGCCCTGATAGTAGGGATAAACATAGCACTAAAGCTCGGGGTTTACAGAATACAAGTTTTTAGTGACTCACAGGTGGTAGTGAAGCAAATATTGGGCGAATATACAGCAAAAATGAGCAACTCAAGCGCTACCTCGAGAAAGTCCTCGAAATCAAAGACAAGTTCGAAGAATGCACCGTCTCTCACATAGTCCGGTCGAAAAATAAAAATGCGGATGCCCTCAGTAAGTTGGCCTCTTCGAACTTTGCATACCTCAGTCACAAAGTGTGGGTCAAGATTCTACCCAAACCTAGCATCCAGGAAGCTCCCGTAATGACTATCACCGAGGACGAAAACACTTGGATGACCCCGTTCATCCAATACCTTACAGATGCCACATTACCAAGAGGAAAAACAGAAGCTAGAGCCCTCCCGTTAAAGGCAGTTGAATACACATTGCAAGACGGTATCCTATACAAGCATGGGTACCTGCTACCCATGCTAAGATGCATTGGCCCAAATCAAGCAGCTTACGTATTCGAAGAAATACACGAGGGATCATGTGGAGCCCATATGGGGGCAAGAGCACTCGCCAAGAAGGTCTTACGGGCAGGGTATTTCTGGCCAACAATCTTCAAGGACGCATACCAGTTTGTACAGAAATGCGATAAATGTCACGCTTCTCTCCCATCACTCGACAACCGTAGCACGAGATGGTCACCATCCAAAGCCCTTGGCCATTCTACCAATGGGGCACTGACATCATCGGCCCTTTCCATCCAGAAGGGGTAGGAGGAGTAAGATGGGTAATCATAGAAGTAGATTACTTCACTAAATGGGTAGAAGCTAAACCGCTGGCCTCGATCACAGAAGGAAGGTCTTGGATTTTTTCTGACAAAACATTGTATGCTGTTTTGGGATCCCAAAGGTGGTCGTCTCTAACAACAGAACCCAATTCGAGAGTAATCCTTTCAAGTCATGGTGCGAGGAAATACAAATCGAGTGTCGCTTTTCAAGCGTAGCTCATCCTCAAGCTAATGGTCAAGCGGAATCCATCAACAGAACCATCTTACATGGGATCAAGACCAGGTTGGATGACGCAAAAGGAGCATGGGCCGACGAGCTTCCCCACGTCCTATGGTCCTATCGTACTACTGCACATTCCTCGACGAATGAAACACCATATAGCTTAGTTTACGGCATGGATGCCGTCCTCCCGGTTGAAATAGGCTTATCAAGCCCTCGAACAATAAACTTTGTCGAGAGCACTAACGATGATGACATCAAGCTGAACCTCAACCTGCTCGAGGAACGGCGAGATGCAGTCAGAATTCGAGAAGCAAAAAAGAGATTCTGCGAAGACACTATAACAAGAAAGTGAAGGCCACAGATCTCGTGGTAGGTGATCTCGTGCTAAGAAAAAATGAAGCCAGTCGAGCAGAAACTCCTGGAAAACTCACAGCAAATGGGGAAGGGCTCTACAAGGTTATTCAGACTTCCCCGATAGGCAGCTACCGCTTACAAACCTTGGATGATAGAGGGACTATTCTCCCTCGATGGTGGAACATTCAGAACCATCGCAGGTTCTATGTTTAAATCTTTGCTTGCTATTTGCCCATTGTGTGTCTTACTTGCTTTAATTACTTCGTCAGTTTTATTCTCTCATATGTAATGCTAACCCGGGTCCTCGAGTAATTATTCAATAAAAGACATTACATATTCTTTCATTGTCGACATCCTATTCATGACTAGTCATTGAGATGGACTCCCTCTTTAGGTCCATCCCCGTTAAAGAGCCGTGTATTCAACATCCGGACACAAAACCGAGGAATCCTCCTCACACACGCTGCAAAATGCAGTATCAAATCGAGGAATTCGTATATAATTTCCTTGATAGAGCCGTGTACTTTACATCCAGCCTAAAAAGCGCTATATAAATTGATACTTGAGTTTTTTCAAAATAATCCATTAATTTTCTCCACACTACTGTGCGAGCTTGTAGAAAATACACATATTTTCTCTATACTATTACAAGGACTTCCCTGATAGGATTGTCAGGGGAAGGATGAATAATCCCCTTAAACCCATGCAGGCTCAGGAGATTCACACATTGTTAAGCTTGTCCTTAAGATCCACGATCTATTGATCTTGGGCATGCACCCTCATTAATAACTCTTCTCGAGAACTTCGAGTTCGAGGATCCACCATTTCCTCTGGGTGCTCAAATACCACGAAATCAATGTTGTTATCTAGTAACAGATTTTGCAGTTTGGTAATGTAATCCATAAGAAGCTTGATCTCACGGGCTTTCCCTTTCAATATGTCCATTGCTGCAATGAATCGTCGAGTTCTGGTCATAATCATGTGTTGAACTCAGGGTAGTACTTGATGTTTCTCAAGGAACCAGGGGGACACGGTAATCTGTTGTCTTTCCCTCAACTGAGCATTCTCCTTCTCCAAGATAACCAACTCATCATGGATCTCGGCCTCGAAAGTCAGTGAATCATCATAGTCTTTCAAACTTTGAACCTCCCGACGCTGCATCTCCTTACGAAGTTCTTTAATCTCATTTATCATATGCCGATTAACTTTCACATTGTGCGTCCTCATCGTGTCGAGAAGGTCATTCTCTAGGTTTGCCACTGTCTCGATGCTATGCACGTCGGCATGACCTCTTAGAATCCCGCTAATCATGGAGTACAGTGGGTACTCACTCGATTGCTCCTCCGATAGAACCATGAGGTGAACACGGTGGACAGGCCAACTATCCTGCTTCAAAATAGGATCGTAAGATATTTGCATCGAATCAAAGTAAAGCAAGAATGACAATGCTTATATAAACATGTAAACAGAGTAATCAGTTCACTATAAAAACGGCAATTCAACAAGCCTAACAGCTATTACAAGAGGCAGGATTCATACAACATCACTGCCAGGAGGGTGGTCCTTGAAAGGGTTCTGAGATGCGTCCTCAGCATTTCTCTGCACTCCAGAGTGGCCAGTGTCAGCAACATCCTCCTCGGTGACTTCGTAAGCATCCTCGAGCTCAATACCCATGTACTCATCTGGTACATCGGGTATGGAATCTTCTTCACTTGGGCCCCTGGCAAGGATGGCGGGTACGTCACCAGGAAACGATGAAATGTCTACAGGAGAACTCATTTTTGCCAAAGCACCGGTCAGAGCTTCCCATAGGGGCAGTTGTTCGAGGCTCAACTTTGTTAGGACCTTCACCATTGCCTCGTGCATGGTCTTCTTTGGGTCCTTTATCAGGAGTTGCTTGAACCATTTGGCTTTGATAGGCATGTCCTGATCGAGCCTCTTCAAACTTGCTACGCCAATCCGGTGCGCCCTGCATTTAGTGGCAACCAAATTCATCTCCTCAAGTGCTTCGGCCATCCCTCCTGTGGACAGCATCTTATACATGAATGCAGCACACCACTGGTGCAACTCCTCTTTCGAGATGTACAAGCTAGCAAATGACTTCATCTTCTCATCCAGCTCATCATACTTGGCTTGTACCAAGGCAATCTCGGCCTCCTTAGCTTGGACTTGGCGGGCCGTTTCCTCGAGAGTCACCACCTCGAACAAAGCTTCATCCCTCTTAGATTGAGCTGTGACCAGGTCTTCTCGCAGTTTCCTTAGCCGCACCAGATAGGCCATCGAGGCCGCATTTATCTACACCAACGTAACACATTAGGAACACATTGATGTGGTACTGGTTCGTGGTAAACATTCATTTGCAACAGTGGAAAATTCCTTACCAGTCTCAGACTATCGGCCTCATTTAGCTAAGCAGCAAATTCCTCGAGGACAGGACACTCGATAGACGATGGGTTGCTGAAGGTGTGCACGGCCACGGACGGACCTCCCTCGAACAGTTGAGGGGGCAGGATAATCGCCTCTCCCTCGAGGAGGCCCTTGCCTTTCTCTGGTCCAGGGGGAACAAAACTTGGCCCAGTTTCCGTAGGAGGATTTTGAATAGTCTCAGTAACAGGGGGCACTGTCTCATCGCCTGGTGTTGCAGTTTCTTTCGAAGGCGCATCCGTTCTGGCATTCTTGGATTTCGCTTTGTCACCAGCCTTCACGATCCTCTTCTTCTTTTTCTTCTGCCCAAGGGCTGCAGTGATGGAAACATCCTCATCTGAATTTACAATAGTAAAGGGATCTTCGTCACCAAACAATCGAGAACCAGCGTTGCTTGAAGACATGACCTAAGAACAGGCAAGAGAGAAGCAAATGATTAGTACCTTTGTTTTCTCCAACAACGGTTTCGAGAGAAATTCTGGTTAAGATCTCAACATTAGCATTCGCATCGGCATTCTCCTCGGTAGATACAGGGGGTATGTAATATTGTACGTCATTCCATTTAACGACCTTAGAATATTTCAGGATTTTCTCCACATCCGCATCAAGCTCCTCGATGCACTTATCGTCTTCTTGGGTCCACTCATCCTTTATCGCTCCAAGACCCTCCGTTTCTTGATGGTTCCACGACAGGCAATAGTTCTTGGACGCCCTTACAAACAAGAAGTCAGGCTTCCAATCTGGTGAGCCGCCATACGCCTCGACCGTCTTTTTAACGCCGGATCTAAGGCGTCTCTTCACAATGTACCAATCTTGGAAAGAGATCGAGGCAACAACTACTTGGAAACCGAGGTTTCACTTTTACATGTTGGCATACTTTTGCAAATCCCAGAACAAAAGTTATTAGGTTTGGGGTGAAACGAGCAAGGGGAGTCTTATAGTGCTGCACAATCTCCTCGAACAGAGGGAAGAGGGGGAATCTAAGTCCTAAATACATAAATTGGTCATACACAGTAATTCTTCCCTCAAGAGGAGAATTAGCTCTCTCGTTTCCTAACGGGGCTCTAGCCTCTAGATCTAAAGGAAGGTCGTACCATGTTCTAATGTTTTCTACCTTATCAACAGAATCTATGGTAGAAGCAAAATCATCAACGGGTTTTCCCTTAGAATCTCTAACCATGGTTCCGTTACTAATCTACCCTGACTGCAATTTGAAAAGAAAAAGACTTTGAATGAAACCAGGATGGTCATATCCGAAAACTTACTATTGGAGGAGGGTATGACCACTCGCCTTTCGAGTTGTAGCCTCCCAGTGTTCTTCCGAATTCCTGGTAGCAAATCTCTTGGTGGTAACGTCGTTGGGGCAATATATTGGTGAAGGCTGTGAATATTTCGGCAAAGACAGTCGGAGCACTCTGACAGGGAGGAGCACTTTGGTTTTTTGCGAAAAGACAAAATGAAAGAGGAGCAGGGGAATCTTCTCCTTGAAAATAAAAACTACTCTCCCACGTCTCCCTAATTACAGCCCACGATATGACAGTTAGGGCGAGTTTCAAGAGAGTAATGATGTTGAAGCCGCCGTTTGGGGAACGTGCCCACTAATAATGCACGGTTGAAAATTTGGGCGGGACTATGAAACGGGTCGCCTTCCCGGGTCCAGATTTACCCGCTGATTAAGTCCCGGGCATACAAGATTGAGGGTTACGCATTTGAGTCGAGGACACTTGACACATTGCTCGACAACTAGCTGAACGAGATTAGCCTTCCACTCTCGGGCTTGTCCAGGTGACACTAACTTTGTGTCAAGCGTTGTTTATCTTCTATAACTAACACTTGACAGGGGCACTTGATGAGTCCATATCCATCACCGAGACTGGACTGGCCCATTAACCGGGAAATGAGTCCAACCGACTCTCTTAGAGCGGTTTAGGTTGTATAAACCTAATAGGATTCGGAGACTTCCTGGGGATTCTCATGCCTATAAATAGGGTTGATCACATCTCAGTACAGGTACGCAAATATAGCTTAACAAACTATACATTCAATTGTTCCGATAACCCTTTATTGACTTGAGCATCGGAGTGTCTACCCTCGGGAGACCGCCGAGGTTCTGTTTTGCAGGAAACCGTAATCGGGGTTCCACTGTTAAACCGGCGACGTGAATCCACGCTTCGTCAATGCTAGCCTTCCATCGTGGAAGATTAGTTGCTTTGGGTATTTGTTTCGTGGCATTATGGTTGTGGAACTTGGTTTGCGATCTTCTTGGGTAACAACATATGATTCCTGTAGAAAAAATGAGAAACATAATCAAAATAAAATGTTAATAACCAAAAAAAAAGAGATTAATTAATTCCGATATTGATTGCAAATTAATTCTATTGGCTCGCAATGAAGAAAGCTGTAACATCCAGCCAACTGGCCAATTATGTTGAAAACTTTTCTTACTATACTCAGTAGTCAGTACAATTAGTGATAAAATACTTTGATGGAAACTTTAATGAGTTTAGTCCAATGGGAAAGCACAATTTCAACTAATTTCTATTGCAAAAAGATTACAAAAAAATTTAAAAAAAATTACACAGAGAAATATATCTTTTGCCGTAATACCATCTAAGTTCTAACTACATGCAAAATCCGATACTACTCTTACTTGTTGGTCTTAAAAATACGTTACTAAAATTGCGCCATTTTTCATTTTGATTCTGGAGTTTATCTAAGCTAGAAAGGAATACATCATTTTGGTAAAGGTATACAATAAAGTGCCATATATAGCGTTCTAGATGCTCCGTCCAAATTATTAATCATATATATTAAATTGAAATAGTACAATAAACACACGAGTTGTATTTGAATTTGCTAAACTTGTTTTGGGTTTTTCTTTAGCTACCAATAATCAGTCTACATTACTGCCTTGCGACATCTTACTTTTCTTTCTTTGGCCATCGATATTTTACTTAAGTGAACGTTACAAAATTTAACATGGATGCTATTTACTTCACTTGCGACAGATAGCCAAAGTGAATCAATCAAGCATAAATTGTAGTATCATTAGTTAGCATCTAATGAGTCGGTTACATGGTTACCACAAATTGGTAATTACTTTTTTGAAGCGGGGCCGGGGGGTGTGGAGACGAAATTAGATGTCACTTTTCTAATGCAGTTGGAATCTCTAAATCCCTCTTTGTTCTTCTCCCAAACTTATTCATATATAACACCCAAAATTGAACTAAATTAGTTTAAATTTGTACTTTATAAATTAGGAACAGGTGTGGGTATTTTCCGCAAAAAATAAAATAAAATAAAAACAATGACTAGAAAGAAGTAACATGTAGAAACAAAGAGGAAAGAAATGAAGCATTTAATCAATAAATTATGTTTGACTAACCTTGCAAACGGAGATGAACTTTAAGTCATCCGCAGTTAAACTTCCAATCCCTAAATCTGGGCTCTTCTCTCCGAAATGTTTCCTTAAAGCAGCATCTTTATTAAGCAGCAGCCCAGATGAGGTAGCTAATAATCGACTAAAATACTTACCGTTCCAAATGGTATCCAGCTCCGAACCTTGAACAACCTCAACATTCAGATAATCCTTAAGAAATCCTTCAACCATAACTCTAGGCAAACTTGTGAAAACCAACCTTGACCCGACCGAATCCACAACCTCGTAAACACGAAGATTAAGATCCTCGAGATAAAACTTAGGCAAAACAACCCTAGCAACAACATCCATGTCTTTCAACCTCAGCCCACAAAATGTAATGAAAATCATGAATCTCATCCTTAGCTCAAATCTCAAGGTGCACAACAAAGGAAATGATAGAAGCAACAGAAAAGCCCTGAAAATGCTTCCACCTTCGAATGCAACAAGCATGAAATTGGGAAGAAAGAATGATTTGATGATGATGATGATGATCTCAACAATGTGGTAAAGTCACAAACCAACGTATGTGATTCTCTTCCATTCAAAACACATTTAGTCACGCTAGGAAAAATGCTACAATTAGACGGCGACCCTTCGATAATATTGTGGGAAAATTGTTTGCTTTTTTTGATCAACTTTAAGGCAGCGGATCTGAAAGATGAGCAAATTATTAAGCATAGTAACCAATATTATAGTATGAGAAGCAATAAAACTACCATCTGAAAATGAGAGTTGAAACTCAATTTTGATGATTATCTACTGGGTAGAAGTTTAACGTTAGAAGAACTATGAATTAATAATAATTGTGTCAGTTTTGAGTTTTGAATGGAAGAAAATTTGAACGGAAACTAGGAGGAGAGGACTCGGGAGTGGGGAGAAGAGTGGACAAATGCAGGCAGTTTTATAGGTGGATAAGGGTCGACCTGTGATTAATTGGTTTATACAACGCTCTTGCAATTAATGATATTTCAACGCAATTTCAAATTTTTAACCAAAATAATTAGACCTATATATATAATATAATTGATGAGTATAGATGCATATAATATAATTATAGTAATTTTGATTCGTAAAGTAACGAAATTCAACACAATGATGAGCCAGTTTGATGAGTGCCGAAGCCTTTAGAAAGCAAAGTCTTTATTTTCTTCAGTGACCAATATGTATCATTTCATATAATTAGGATCGTACTAATAACTGAATTTGACATCAAAAGATCCATATGCTAAAGTCGTTAATTATTAGGTCACTTATTGCTAATAGTTTGTGTAAGAGAGTAACTTCACGTACAAATTTGAAACTCTTGTAACAATGTCTTAATATTGGAAGGTCTCAAACTAAAACCTTATAGCCTTTAGTTGCTACTATATATGATTTTCATTCTACTAGTCCTAGCTGAAAACCCTTCGACAGTAATTGCTTCTTTTTTTTTTTGGTAATGAAGGAGACAAAAACCTACTCGACAGTAATCGCTTTGAACGGTTGTTCAAAACGATCACGCTAATGGTTGAGATTAATTCAGTGGGAATATTTTAATCTCTAAGAAATTTGTCAACTAAACCTTCTATAATCAATTCTTATTCCTTTCATCTCCACGTTAAGGTCTATTCTCCACGATAAATATTGCTTATTTGACACATTATAGTGCTTTTGTTGATAAGAGCTCAAAACAACATCTAGCTGTGGATACATTCCATTTTTTCCTCGGCCTAACACAGTGATGTGATGTATATAATGTGTTATTATTGTACAAGCTGTTTTAATTATAAGAGATTAAATTCCATGTGATCTCGTCCTCCATAGCACGCAAAATTTCCATTATAGAATTCGAAATTAAATTGAATTTGACTAAAAGAAGTTTAATCTAACGCTTAGTAATTTATGTACCATACAAATTTTTTGAACTTTTACCTAATTAAGGAAAAAGGGTAATATTAAAAGTTCAAATTGTATATACGCGACTTCTTGAACTGGAAATAGTACTGTGCACACGTATCAATCGATAATGGCTTCATGTTACAAATTTCCATAAATTGAAATGTGATTGAACAGAAAAGGTATTGAACCAATCGCTTTCATTATTAGTTGTTTACCTAGATAATTTAATTAACTGCAATCTACCTAGCTAAACAAAAAATGACGCGTTTAAAACTAAGAATGCTTTGTACCCAAAAAAGAAGAAGAAGGTTTTACCTAAAGTTCACGTTATTGTTTAAGAATATTTATAATTCTTCAGTCCAGAAATGATTATCCAATTTCGATTGTCACTTTCAATAATTATTTATGGAGTAGAGAATACCTTGCATCATAGATCACGTTTCTGATTTTTCATCGTGTAAAAAAGGTGACCCTGAAAACCCTAGGTTTCATCTAGTTTTAATAATTTGATAAATTACAATATTCATATATCAAAATGTACTATTGAAATGAGACTAAATATCTTTATTAGTGTTTGATATTTTTTTCATACTGCGCACAGTGTACTAAGTATATTGCACTCAGACTAATCCGCACTGAGCCGGGTCGGTCTCCTTTCGGAGGAAAAACTCTCCCAACATTACTCTTTTCATTCACGAGACTCAGAACCGGAGACCTCGCTTAAGGGAATCAAAACAGCTTACCATTTTGGCCAAGCAAATGTTGGTTATTACTGTTTGATAATCTGATTTGAGCATTAGAATGTCTATGTTCCATGAGCCGACGGGCAGCCTTAAGGAGTAAAGAGTAGATACTACTAGTCGACTGAGAGGAAAATTCTCGATTACCTGTTAGAAAGGTCCAAAAAGTTTCAAATTTGTAAAAATAAATAGTATATATTGAGTTTTAAAATTTGTATGTATCGAATTATTTTTTTGACAAATGGAGTATAATATAGTTAAGGATTAATTGTGCAGATCACATGCATAAGATTAATCACGTCTTTGCCGCCTTACTTCTTTGCCTCCTTTTATTTAAATAAATTCATGCAATCTAGCTCGCATGAAACTTCCTTTTTCATAATTATTAAAAAAAAATGTATTAGTTGACCTTTTCTTATGTTATTTTGTTATAAGGTACGTTTTGTTACTTCGGTGCATGATAATTAGGGCCCATTTGATAAAACTTAATTTGAGTTTGAAATCTGAAGACTGAATCACAAGTACTGAATTGATTAAGTTTGTCGTGTTCGATAAAAATCAAAATCTAAACACTGAATAAAATGTCTGAAATCTGAAGTCTGAACACTGAAATTTAAAGTATTTTGATTTATAATTTTATCTGAAAAAATAATTGATGTATATGAAACTATGATAACAAAAATAATAATATTAGTATTAAATAATGTAATAAAAATATTTAAATTTTATTATGTTATTATTTTTTTAGTTAATAATAATGTCATATTTTATCATTGTCAAAAAAAATTCATATTTTATGGTAAAGATATATTGATCATGGAATTTAATGGATTTTAATTTTTATATAAAAATAAATATTTATTAAATAAAAAATAATTTACATAAGTTTTAATTTAGAACTAGACATCATGATTAATAAAAATATTTCAAGATAAAATATCAAAAGTAGAAACATAAAAATAAGTAAATAGAAAAAAAATCGTCTCAAGAATTCAGTTCAGACATAAGTGATAGACCTATCACTTATTTTTAGGCTCACATTTTTACTAGTATTTCAGACCCACTTAATTTATTAAGACATCCTACTTTGAGTTATCAAACACACTTAAAATTTAAGTACCTAATAAATTAATTCTTAAACAATTAAGTTGTTATGATAGTATGTTATCAAACAGTGCTAATCAATTAAGCACTTAATTAATAAGTTTAAGTGCTTAATTGATTTATCAAACAGGGCCTTAGTTGGGATTGCTCCAGAATGGATTTAAGTTGTCCCCCCTGAAAAGGATTATTTTAGATATTCAATATTTTCTTGACCAATAATTTGATGATACAATTCTATGCGATGCAAACTAATTTCCCTTCACTCTTGGATTGGAGGAAGAATAGTGATTTTTTAAGCATATAGTTAAAAGCGACGACATGTCACGGCTCATGGTTTTGGAGTAGCAGAAAAGAAAATATGATTGGATTTTTCATATCTTATATCATGTCTGTCCGGTTTTCAACTTGTTTATTATTGAAAAAGTATTGAAATATGTTACTACAGTATAGAATTAAAATATAGATATATAGATTTTGTGTTGGAGAGAGTACTAGCTTGTTTTAACGAGATACTAATAAATTCACGCAATCTCATGAACTTTTTTCATAATAAAAACAAAACATATATATACTACAGTGTGAGAGGACCTTAACTAATTAGTTATGTTTTAACTACTGTTTTAATTCTAATTAAGGCGGAAACAATTCCGGAACTTGTCATTGACAGGAAGGATGGGCTTCTTTTTTTCTTTAGTTCGGCCTTATCTCTTGCATGAAGAGCTAGCTTTCAGTTTTGATGGAAACCATTGACATTATAAGAAAGATATGGAATTGACTGAACGTATAATACTAATAATACTAAACAGGTAAGAAATTAATTATGGAATTAATAATACTAAACAGACAAGATATGGAATTAATTATGTTGTAGACAAGAAATTACAAAACATGCAAATAATACTAATAAAATAAAACTCCCAATTAGGAAACTGTTGGGGAATTCAAATCCTTTTGGGGAAGAAATTCTCAGTGAGGTTTATAAATATGGTTCTACCCCCCTTGAATTCCTCCAGTCCTTTGGCTTGATTTATAGCAAAAGTGTATTCAAGCCTTAAACTCGTTTCTGAGAGTATAATAGAAACCAAGCTAGAGAGGAGAGGAAGCATCCAGAGAAGAATAGATGAAGAGGAATAAGTGAGTAATAATAAGGAAGTCATATCGATCAATATCAACTTAAGCATCAAGATGCTGCCGGCCGGTGGCGTTGAAGACGAAGACAATAATGTTGTTTCTGACCAATCCCGAACCAACAGGCAACAAGATATGTCCCGATCTAGGGAGCGGAGGAGGCCGGAGATACGATCTAGGTCGACACGTTATCGAAGCCCTGATTCAAGGGATCATCATCAGCTCGGCGGCAACTCTAAAGTGTTATGCCTAACCGATGTGGTTTGGCCGGTTGAACTAGAATATGATGAAGATTACGACCATGTAATGGATGTAGTAATCTCAGAGTGTAGAGAATTCGGTGATTTGGTGAATCTAGTGATTCCCCGTCCTGTTGGTGATCCCTACAACGATCAAGTTATGGCAAAAGCTGGAGTCGGAAGGGTTTTTGTGGAGTATGAAGATGTTGAGACTGCAACAAAAGCACGAGAAGGGTTGAATGGGCGGATTTTGGATAAGATTTCCGAGGCAATTCCGGTGGTTGCCAACTTTTATCCCGAGTACCAATACTCTCAAGGGGATTATGGGGCCAAGCTAATTTACTAATCTTTATTAATTGTTGTTTGTTTGTTTGTTCAACTATATGAATTGCCAGAGAGAATGATTTTTTTGTAATAATGCTTTTTTGTATTATATTGGAAGACGTGGCCTTAATAATAACTCACTGTTTTATGGATTCCCTTAATCTCAAGTTTTGAGTATTATTGCAATAACGGTTTCAGTAATGGCAATGTATACAAAATGTATGTTGAATAAATTATGTCCTTAAACTAATTAAATCTATCTATTTACTAAAACAGCAGTCCTTGAGGCAGGTATTCTCGCCTAATTTTTCTCTTCTGGGACACGTGTCGTCTCCTGGTGTAAAATTTTCCCTCTAAAACCCTATATACAAAATGTATGTTGAATAAATTATGTCCTTAAACTAATTAAATCTATCTATTTACTAAAACAGCAGTCCTTGAGGTAGGTATTCTCGCCCAATTTTTCTCTTCTGGGACACGTGTCGCCTCCTGGTGTAAAATTTTCCCTCTAAAACCCTGTTATGCTGATGTGTCATTTTGTAATAATTTAGACTTAATTTTATTTTTATCAAATATTGTAAACCCTTTGCAAGCTAAAACGGAGAAAGTACATTATTACTTTTTTCATTTCTATCTTCCACTTTGCATGCACACCGCCCAATTAATTAATTGAATAGTGCAGCATGCACGTAATTTTGAATTTGACGATGCACCCATTTCCTCTCTCATTTTTCCCTCTTTCCAGCTTCAGGTCAACATCCTTGTTTCCTCCAAAAAAATGGCTTTCTAAATCACCATTGCCATCAGTTATTGCAGGCTAATTACTCGAGATCCAATAGTCTTTCTATTAGCGGCGTCCAGAGTTTGTTTAAATCGTGGGCACCAAACTGATTGCGCCACAATATATGGTTAATCGATCTTTACTCTTTCTATTGTCCTTCTTATTGGTTAGAATCATCTAGGACGGTACGAACGCCGGAAGCAAGAATAGTTGTCTCTGCACCTTTTTTTTTTGTACAATGCTACAATATCCTCACCCTTTTGAAAGTAATTGGCCGAAGGTTGACGCCCTTACGCATTCCAACCATGAGAAAGTGCGGCAATGGCGGAGGTTTCCACTTTATGGATAGGTAGAGACGGTGAAGCATTTGGCGGAAGAATCCAATCTGGTCGTGGCTCTTGAGCAGACCCTCGGGACGAAGTCCTGCAACTGAAGCCGTAGGTCAGATTTTTTTTATTTTTTTTTTTTGGTTGGTCTTCTCTATTGAGTAACCTTTGAATATCCTGTGTAGATCATTGAACGTCAGCGCCGATGGTGGTTTAGGTGTGGCACTGTGATTTCTAGATCCAGTTCTTGAGAAAGGCTTATCCTGCGGGAGGTTTGTCTTTTTCATTTGCGCTCCTGCTATAACAATTAACTTGTCCAAGCACGATTTTCATCCTTCAACAACGTTCACCATCATCAAATTTTTTATCAGTATTTTTTTCAAGATTTACTTGGCCATCACCTTTTCAGGCCAATGAAGTAGCCAGCAGGGAGAAAAGCATGTTGCTATCACCACTGCTATTGGAGTAATAGCTGCTGCTGCAATAAACCCAACAGATTCAATCTCCTTATAGCGTGATTAGAACTGCCACCGGCTGCTCCAGCCATTGTCGCCCATCCTACTGGTGGATGAATTTGATCTGGCTTTGTTCGAGAACAGAAAAAAAAATCTGGTAAGAATTTTCATAAAGTTTAGATGAAACTTAAATTTTCTATGTTGGTGATAGTTTTGGGGATTGGTGATGTGTTGTTTCAACATTTTTTTTTTTCTTTGGAAGAAACTTTGGCATATATTTGAATCGATAATTGTGAAATCGGCATGTCTTCTTGCAGTTTTTATGCATTATGTTGGCCTTTTGAGTAATTTGTTTGGTAACTATTTGGAGTGATATATATTAACACCCTGTTTACTAATGCTTTAAAGTTTTTTCGAGTGAAGATATTTGATCTGTTTGATGTGAAACATAAAACAGTTATTGATTTTGGAGACTTTGTCAAAGAACTTAATGCCTCCTCGCTAATGATTAACAGGGTGTGTATTGGGTGTATTGGGAGCCGCATTCTGTAATTGGGTATCTTAGTGATTAATATTGTATTTTCTATTATCTCAATTAAGTATCTCAAGCAAATTGGACATTTTAATTTCTACTTTGCAATTTGCGCTATCAAATTTGTTTCATGGGTGTACTCAATGTTCTTATATGATCTAGAAGTTTTGAGCACTCTTTGATATGGAGTTTACTTGCGCCAATTTCTTCATATGGGTTCATTAGGATTTTCTTTTTCCAAAACTCCATATACATACTCTTTCTTCAGCTAATTTGTCTGGGGTTTTGCTTTTTTTTATATAAATCTACAGTATTTTGCTTGAAATGTTTATTGAAACTGTCTTTGTTTGGGTGATCAAATTTGCTTTAATCCCTAGTTTTTGGTGGTTTTCTTTGGGTGGTTTTTGGTTTTCCAATTAATTACTGACTGAGAAATCATTTTCATCTTCTTATTGTAGATTTTGCTGAATCATCCCATATAGACGTATAGAGCTTTATCGACTTTTATTTTTTTTCCTTTTGAGTTGTTTCGCAAATGTGGAATAATCGATCATTAATAGCTTTTATTTTTCTATTAAGTTTCCTCTGTACTCATATTGATATTGAGGTTTTATTTTTCTTCTTATTTTGGTTTCCTCTCGGGCAGACCCTCGTGTGTTCCAGAGTTCAAAATCCAAAAAAGTTACAAGTACCGTGCTCCAGACGGTCAAGACCAAACTAATGAGGCAAGTAACCAATACCATCCTCACTTAGAGTTTCACCTTTCCTCTTTGATTTCCTTTGTGCAATACTTCTTAGCAGGTATATGTTTGATGTTAACTTATATATATATATATATATATATATATATATATATGTATATATATATATATATAAAAGTTTATGGGAGTGAATAACGTATGCGAAATTCAAACATAAACAATGTTCTTTTGATTCTTACCTAGAGATTTGGTGGAATGCTTATAATGAATTGTATGTATGCTTTATGTAATTCTGTTCTTTTTTCTTCTTTTTTTACAGTGGGATGCTATTTTCCGAAAGAAGCAAAATATTCATGTTTATGGGGTTTATGTCCCTTCTCCTCTTAAGAGCTTTGTGGAATCAAAGTCAAGGTATTCTTTAGGGGGATTTTTGTTCTTTGCCTTGGAATTTGTCACCTTATATTTCCGTTTATGCAGCTTATGTTGTATGTGCTCACTGTTTTTGGTGCTCAATAGTTTCTAGCTACTGGTTGGATCCCTCAAACGCCTCCAAAGTAGGTCCCTTCTTTTGTATCAATTTAAAGTTTTTTTTTTTTTTTTTGTAACTTCAATTTTGATGCAGCTTTTTGTCATGTGATATTATTATGTATGGATAAGGAGGTATTTGTTACTAACCAATCTTATCTAGACAATGAGGTATTTGTTTATTGGATTTATATTGATTTGATATTTTAATAAGCTCTTTTCCCTTCTTTTTCTTAGCCGGAGATGTGTGAACTGGAAAAACCCTTGCAAGAAGCCTTGTCGGATGATACGACTATTTTCAGTTGTATAGTTTAAACTCATTCAAGGTTTCCTTATAGTGCTGCTGGTGCTTTCACAAAAAACCTTGTTAGTTTTGTTTCCCTTCAGTGTACTTACATTCTTCATACTTGGGAGGATGAATAGTGTTGGCATTCATTATTGGAAAGTGCATAACTTGGTTTTTTGAATACCACAGTTCTTGCATGAATTTTCTGTAACTTCAAGAATTAGAAGTGTCTGTGGTTGATCAGCTGAGAATGAAGTAAATAGCAGTAAGCGAAGAAAAAGAAAAAACAATCCCCTCCCAGTGAGAGTTTAATAGTTCATATCAGGTAAATTCTTGTCATGGAGTCCTTATCGTAATTGAAATTAGGTTCAGCTAATTGGGATCTTTTAGAAATGGTCTGTTTATTCCTTGATTTTACTTCTATTCCGATAGTTTCTGATACAAGTTTAACAGTCGAAAGTAATGGAGTAACTGAATAAAATTTTAACATTTGTAGGGTGTTCAGTTTGTCACTTTTTTAATCAATGACAAATGAAATATGTATGGCTTCTTTAGTGGTATAATAATTGTTTGCAATTACCTATAGTTTTAACACCCTCCGTACGGATGCATTATAGTTTTTTGTATTTACATGTTTTTCATCCAATGCTGCATGTGAGGATGCAGCTTTTTTTGTCTTAGACTGATTGTAATATATGTTGAAAAATTTATGTCTGATTATTTCTGAAAATGCCATTTTTCATAGGATGCAATGTTGATTTTGAAAGTTTGAGCTTGATTGGTTTCATGAGTATATTGAGGCTGCTGAATGATATTTCTCTTGTATTGATGTGTGCTAAGTAATTACCCTCCCAAATTGTTATCCTATATGCTCTCCAGTAGAATTGCTCTTATTTATATGCTTTCAATCATTCCCATCCAAGTTGATTAAGTATCCAAATTGATTAAGTTTAATTTATCAACTGAAACTTTCTTTTGAAAATGAATCCTTTTTGTACCTCGAGACTCATAAAACCTGGCGGATTTTTAAAGAAGGAATTAATCCTCTATTATGCGTCTGTTGCAGAGAAATCTGGGAAGGAAAAGAGTGATCAATTCAGCATAATTGGCCGCTTTGGTCGTAATTCTTGGGCCTAATTATGAAGGCTTTGTGGATGAAGTTGCGGGTCAGCTCTTCTTCTTCTTGCGTCCCAAATAATTGTCCTTTCTTTTGTGCAATGTGAATCGGAAGTCTTATGCCTTTGAAGAGCTTTTAGGGCTGTCCTAACTTAGTGTGGGTGATAAACTTACATGCCAGTTGCTGGGCACTGGTGAAAAAAGTGGATTGGACTTGCATCTTTGCTGGACAACCTGATGAAGAATGTGCCTTTTTACTTTCGTCATCCTTCCTATCCATGTTTGTTGATCCTCCGGCTTGCCTGACTGATATAATCATGCAGTGGCATCTACTATGATATATTTAGAGCTTACAGACCATATAAAAAGTAAGTAAATGACAATGAGATGTCTCATATTTTTCATTTTTTTTTATCAATGACGATGAGATGTGTATGGCTTCTTTGTGGTATAATAATTGTTTGCAGTTACCTGTAGTTTTAACACCCTCCGTACTGATTCTTTAAATTTATTTTTTTTTGTATTTTACATGTTTTTCACCCCAATGTTGCACGTGATGATGAAGCTATTTATCAGAGGCTGATTGTAATAAATGTTGCAAAATTTATGTCTGATTATTTCTGGAACTGCCATGTTTCATAGGATGAAATGTTGATTTTGAAAGTTGGAGCTTGATTGGTTTCATGCATCTTTGCTGTATAACCTGATGAAGAATGTGCCTGTTTTGAGTAATGGGTTGGAGTTTTTTTCTTTCTTTGGTATGGGCATGGCAGAGGGATGGGTTTGGCATGGGTGACGATGTAGTTGTATAGATGACTTTGACTTGTGCTGGCGGGTGCTGGCATAATTAATGATTTATACTCAAATGTGAAAGTCTTTGTATTTTTTGGGTTAAGCTCGTGCCATGAAATTCTCCATGAAAAACATGAATTACAGAGGACACTGTCCTCCCAAAGAAGAGAAGTTGGATCGCGTTTTTCAGTTTAACAGACTATTATTTAATCTGTTGACCATGGTGGAGGTGTGCATTGTTATGCAATCTATATAGGTTTTACATCCTTGAACCGAGCATCTAGACATGGACCGGAAACTTGAAGCGCTTTGTTGATGGAACGAAAACTCATCGTTGCTGATGACAAATAATTACACCAGGGTGTGTCCTGAAACTGCTTAGCAGGTGCTAAATCTTTAGATTATTATGTGGTAATATAAATAATCATTGTATTATTGACTTTGTTCTTTCGTCAATATTTCGTTCACTCTTTGTCATCTTTGCTTTAGACCAGATTGAAATGTTGTAGGCGCAATCTCCTTGTCTAATAATTAGAATGACTTCAATAGTTTAATCAAATAATTCTTTTGGTTCATGCATATTGTGCTAATAATACTACTAATATTCATCAATTACGTTACGTCAATTTTCCTTTTGCAGTTAACTACACTGTTTGGGCACACTAAAAAAATTAGGGTACTGTTTTAGAAAGAGGTTGAATTATTATAAATATGTACAAATTATGCTTCTTTATCATTCAAATCACGTAAAACAAAAATCGCCGTGTGGTCTGACGGGTATTTCCTTTATAAGTCATTATTAGTTATGAAGAATTACACTAGCTCAAGGCACAAAATGTTGACAGCCCGGGCATGACCGACTGGTGTATTTCTGGGATATGTTTTCTTTTGGTGGTACTATCAGTCTTGCTATTTAATTACAAAGAGAATTTTTGTATAATCGAATACATTGAAAAATTAGGACCGAAGAAGTTTTCATATTCTTTTGTACACATAAAGCCGGCTTATTATCAAGAGCTTATAATGAATAAGGTTACACGTTCTAGCAAATTTGCATCATTTCAATGCATTTGGGTGAGGTTACAAGTTCTAGGAAATCTGCACCATTCCAATGCATTCGGTTTGTCATTGAACCGAGCATCTATATAGTTTTTACATCCTTTTCAAAAATATATATATAATTTTTAAAAGATTGCATTCGACTTTAATCACGTATGTTTCAATAATCTCTTTCTCCATTGGTGTGTGAGGAAGGCATATAGTTATAGTGTTACAGAAATTGACAGAGTGAAGATTTGTACCCTTGCAAGTTAGAATTGTGCATGCATGCCTTTTTTGGGATGTGAGATGTCCATGTTCACAAAAACACTGATGTACTTCTAACGTTGTTGTTGTTGTTCTTCTTTTATCATCATCATCATCATCATCATCATCATCATTATTATTATTATTATTATTATTATTATTATTATTATTACTATTATTATTATTATTATTATTACTATTATTATTATACATTCGGTATCCAAATTACTCCGACTAATTTAAATTCAATAGGATAATTTTTTTTTAGGTAGTAGACTTTCCCAACATGTATTTTAATCGGAGCTTCATGCCCATGCTCGAGTTTGATCTCGGATTATACTTCCTCACTTTATTGTTGTATAAAAAATAAACGTCTTTTTCTGAAAAGTCAATGTATATTTAAACGTAATAGATGATCATTTGTGTTATTATTATTATTATTATTATTATTATTATTATTATTATTATTGGTGCGAAATAAGAGGCAAAAGTATAGATTTTTACATTCCGGTGATATACAACCCCTATTACATCATGCTGCAACCATGACCTAACACCTAACGGTGGTACATCAAACCTTTGCAGACCTACCAGGCCAGAAGCTGCTAACGAGGCTAAGTAGTCAGCCACTTACCCTGGCAGTCACATACACCACCTCCTCCTTAACCCAACCCCACCAATTGATCATTTGTGTTATTAATAACAATAAAAGATGACAATCATATACATTTATGAATATAGTTTGATAAATAAGGAGTATATATACATTTATCTGTATTTATAGTTTATATATTTAAATATTTAGATTTATTACTTTTATCAATGTCATCAATTTCTCAATTGAGAGCAATGTTGTTCATATTCTAAATTTCTTTACCATTTAGCGGCAAAACTAAATGCTAAATTTTATTTTTGGGTTATAAAACATATCAAATATTTTATGGAACCGTTACTTTTATCATTGACACCGATTGAACCCACAAAAAAATTATTAGGGTGTCCGTGATTACACAAGTTATATCTAGTTGGTATATATATACATATATATATATATATATATTCACACAACTACTATAGCACAGGTGAATTGATGCACGCTGATTTTCATCACTTTTCCCACACCAGATTGATTTGGCTAATGTTTGTATACCTAAGAGCAAAACAACATAAGACTGCTTTTGATACCGGAAATCCAAGATCCTGGAATTGGTAGAACATTTCCCAGAGTTGGTTATTGGATACTAATGGTTGTTAATTTAATAATTTGTTTAGAACTTACACAAAGAAAACTTGTTAGTAATGGCCTACTACGGCAAATCATTATCCTCGGGTGATCAAGTGCGTAAACCTCCGTGTAGATTTTAATCGTTCTTCAAAGTTATGAAACCGTAGTGTGCTATTCTCTCTATTCAAAAAAAATAAAAATAAAATAAAAAAGATTCACATTGAATTTTAAAATTTTTACTAAAAAATAGTACAAAATTCTGAATTCAATATGGACTAATTTTTAAAAGATGGAAGGGGTATAATTTATGTAAATCATTGGTAACTTATTAGGGTATAATTTATACTTGCTTCTTTTTATTACCCCCTCTATCCCAGAAAAATAGTCCAGTTTGAAAATGTACAACTTTTTTAATTTGGTCAACACACCAAATGTACAACTCATTTTATGCCCCTAACTTTCACTAATGCCCCTTCTAGTTATTTCCATAAAAGTTAACTACATATGCATTTATTTTACAACTTACATTTGATCAAAATTTTTATCTCAAAAAATATTAAAAATGGATCTTGATGGAAAGATCTCGTTACGTAAATTAATTTGATATAAAACAAATTTTTTAATTATTCATGTATTAAAAGATATAATCATTTGAAAAAATGGGAGAAACTAAAAAAATGAAAATCAAAGGAAGTGGACCTTGTTTTCCTTACCCCTATTCTTTTGAATATTTAAGTCATTTCAATTCAATTAATTTTAACTTTTATGAAACTGGACTTTTTTTTGGGACAAACTTTTTTATTAAACTGGATTATTTTTTTGGTACGGGGGAGTACATTTTTTTGGTCAATTTCTGGATTGAGACTGTCAGAAGGAGCTGTCACAAGCCGTGAGCTAAGAAACACTATATAATATTATTTTTGGATCCAAGAACACAACGTGTTCTGCAGTGGCGGAGTTAGGATTTTATGAATAGAAGAGCGAAAAGATCAAAAATTTAGTTTGCAGGAGCAAAAACATCACAAAAAATTATTTACACTAAAATTTAAAAGCATTCTTTAAAGAAAATTCTAGCGAGGGGCGACTGTCACCGTTGGTCCCCCTAGTTCCACCACTGGTGGTGTCCAAAAACATTAGATATTAGTTTTTTTTGAGAAATAAAAACACATTCATTAATTTGCTAGATATCGTCTAGCAGCGATTGATAAAAACATGATACAACTATAAAAACATAACTTAGATAGTTGTATTTAACCGAAAGTTAGTAGATCTAATTATTATTAGGTTTATAATTTTCTGTTAAAATCTCAAAATTATAAACCTAATAATAATTAGATCTACTATGACTAAATTTTCTTGGACCATGCCTACCAAACCGACGAACACTTTTAATAAAGCCGTCGCCGTCGTATTTGCAAACATCAACGACAAAATCGCCGTCATACTAGCAAACATTAAAAAGGATGTCGCCGTCATACCTACAAACATCAATAAAGATGTTACCGCCATACTGTAGATAATAATCTACAAACTATTTATTGAATCCAAATTAATACCTCACTCTCCTAGGTTATTAGTTATTTTCATGAAGTTATAAAGATTTTGAGTTCTAGACTTCTACATGAGTCGAATTATTAAGAGTTTTGGTAGACAAATGACAATTTAATGGTTCTTCCTATGTCATATTTGGATTTTCACTTTCAAGTACAAATTGTACTAAAAAGTAAAACCTAGACTATACAATTGCTTTGAAAAAATAACACCATTATTCACTGATTTAGGATTTTTATTGATTAGACTTTGTGAATGAAGCTAAAATAGTTTGATTTTTTTTTATTAAAAAAAAAAGTTACTGGTAACATTTATCGTACGCAAAAATTTGAAAAAACAAAAACAATTAGTTTGCTGGCAAAGGCAAATAAAGCTGGAAGTGCTCATTACCCAATTTAGTTAGACACCTTCCTCTCTGTTGCCTGCACTCTCCGTACCAAAAAAAAAAAAAAACACACACACACACACACAGAGTCACGCACTACATTCACCAGAGCACGCAGAAACCGTTGAGAGACAGAGAAAGCAACAATGGCAGAAAACTCTGGTGCTGTGAAGAAAACAAGAAATCCCAAACTCACCATGGAAGGCTACCTCGACTTCGTTCAATCCGAGAAGCGAATTGACATCACCCGCGACCATCTCAATCAGGTTCCCAAAATCTTCCGTCGCCGTTATACTCTATACTACCTTTCTTCGTTTCTCTTTTCTGAATTTTAATCTCAAAATAAGCAAATTCCGGCTGTTCTCCGGTGTATTCTTCTGGTGTTGAGTGATTTCTTCGGTTTTAGTGGAAATCTGTACTCTGATTTTGTTGTATTATCAGTCGTTTTTACTCCGATGAAACCAGAAAAAAAAACGTAGTTCTGTTTAATCTCTCTGTTTTTGCTTAATTTTATGGCGAAAATGGCGAAATCTGAACTTAGTTACTACGGATTTTACAACGATGAATTCATGTGTAGAAAATTAACGACGGATTGTTCTCTTGTTTTCCTTTTGCAGATCATTTATATGCACGGCTTTAGAAAGTTCAAGGGAACTCCCAAGGTATGCTTCGTCTTCATTGCTTCTCCGTTTTCATCTAGTATTTTCGATTTTGAATTTTCCGAACGGTTTTGGTTACAGTTCTCACGTCGTTTTGATTTCCGTTGCCGTTTGATTTAATAAACAGAGCATTCTGCTTGAGGTGGTGAGTAAGCTGGAGCTCATGGACCCAAGCCGCTCAACAATCCAAGACGACGGCGTAACATCTGACGCAGTTTTATCAATTGAAGAGGTAATCAAGGACTTGAACGCTCTGAAATGGCAGGAATGCTGCATCACCTCTCTCCAAACGGTCAACGCCGTCAGCCACCACCACACAGAAGACGGAAGCCTCGGCAGCAGCGGTGGATGCTCCGCCGGAACTGTGGTGTCGCCTTCGTCGGAGAAGCAGCCAAGGAAGCCGCGGAGAAAGCTCAAGAAGATCTCTGGAATTGTGCCTTCCCCCATCAAAAGGAACATCGGGAGTTCTGACACGCCGCCGCGGTCGCCGGTGTTGGAGAATTGGAGCCCCCGCAAGAAGAGGACACCAAATCGTGGCGGTGGCGCAGCTAGTTCAGTTTCTGCCGGTGAGGTTCAGGAGTCATCGTCTAGGGCGCTTGCTCTGTTTTTCGGCTCGAAGTAGGAGACTGGACTAATACTGAAGCTCAAGCAATGGTAACTTATTTCCGTTTGATTCTGATCACTTTCAGGACAGATTAGCCTACCAGTTTGACCTACCAATCTTAACAATTGGTTTAACTACTATTAGAGATTATTACTGCAGGGTTCTAACTCTATGAATGGATGATGTCTAGTGTTAATTACATTAAATTTACTATTGCTAAGTTGCAATTGAGACTTGTAGCTGCTTGCCTAATTTTTTAAATGCTTCTGTAATGCCAATGGCTTGGATGGTATTTAATCCTTCGCCGGATTGATCAATTTAAGTTTTCTTGTTCCTTTTAATCTTCAATTTAGTAGCACTGTTTTCTCCATTGCCATGAGTTTAAGTTGGCAATTCAGAATAATGTTTGTTCAGATCACAAGTGTATGACAATAGAGATGGTAGTCCTTGATGGCTTTTTGTCCAACTTCCAGGTTGAAGTGTTCCTCTCTTTTAGCCATCTAAGCCGTCATATTAGCACTGGTTCCTTTGCTTGCATTTTTTGTATGTTTTTATTTGTGACGACTTTGATTCAGAAGAGCAGTTCTCACTATCTTGCTCTCTAAATCATCCAGGAACGAAACCAGATTGTTTGTATATACAAATGGGAGGTGGTATTTCTTGGGTTTATCCCTCTGGTTGTGGCTAACTTGGCTGGTCTCATGTTGATACTTGATACACCTTTGGGCATAGAAGATCCTATTTTACTTGTCCCAAGTTGATACACATCTCTTAACTTTGAGCATAGAAGTTCGCTTAAATTCCGTAGCTCCCGTTGACACTTGCAGTCGGCTTAAAACTACGTGTGTAACTAAGAGCATCATTTTCTTCACCTGCAAAACGCTGCATTGTTTGAATTGGGTGTGTTCGTGTAGATTACTGATTCTAACATATTCAGCAGAATGCGTGCTCACTGTTTCAATTTTCGCAATGTTAATGGAAGAAAACTGCAAAATCTACAGTAATTGTTGGTAGAATTTTGATATTGAGCCGAGATGCGTGATTATGGATTTGGAAACCAGATTATGCTACCAGAAAACAAATGATCTAAATAAGAACCACCTCACAGAAGATAGCAGGATAAACATTAACAGGACATAAATGTTTGAAGCTCGAGGATACAGCGTCAAGTATACTACAAATCAAACTCCTCTACAGAAGGCAAGCCTTCTGAAGAAAAATATTCGCTTCAAGCTAATGGGCAATGGTAGACCTTGAAGACTAGTTTCTAATTGTTTACACAATACATCTTCCCTTTCCATATCCAAAGGGAGACACAAATTCCGGGAGTAATTGCCCCGCAGCAGTTGAAGCTGTAAGACACTGGTTATGCCCCAGTTGCATACACCCGAGTCCATTCCTTCGCTGCAAAATTAACAACACATAATTAGGCATGAAAACTGCTGTTCCATTCAAATCTACTATATCTGCATCTTTATTCTCTTTTTGCTGCTTTCAGTTCTCATTTAGATGTATCGTAAAACAGACTTGTAAAAGAACCTTCGGCATTACCTGTTTCAACAGCTTCAACCTCATTTGATTTCCAATGTTTTGCAATGTTTTCAGAGAGTGGGTCATCTGGATTGGGGGCACTAAGAAGAGCTTGTATGCTGATTCAAAAGTTGCAAACAATTACAATCAGGATCACCCAATTATACTGAAAAAAAATCCTTCAGAAACAATCACATAATTAGACAAATCCACATGCCCTATATCTTGGAACAAATAAGGAAGGCAAAGCCAAAGTGATCTATACAACCACCACATTATGGGGACACAACAAACAAACCAGTAGGATTCACAAAAAAAAAATCACAAGATCAAAACTCTGGGATGTTCAACAGGAATGCTCACAGGAAACTACTGCCAGTACAACTTTTACGATGCCATGAGTATGAAATTATAAATACAAACAGGACTCAGTCACTGTTAATTCTAGAGAAAAGACATGTCACCTTAACAACACAGTCCGTATCTGGAGAGCTGGACTCCACTTGTCTTTGAGAATGTCAAGGCAAATACGTCCCAACTGGAATAGATAAATTATTTAGAATCAGCATATAAAGAGATGGAGCAAAATTTTATGAACTCTAGAAACTCAGCTACTGAGCTACTTGCCTTGTCGATATTTGGATGGTATATTTTGGTTAAGAAGCGAACCTGTCAGCAAGGAAATTACTAAATCAGCTATTATTACAGCTATTATTGATTAATTTTTCAGAAATGAGATAAAGAACCTCAATATTATCTTGGGAAAATACACAAGAGAAACTAATGCAATTACTGATTTCCATGGATAAGGGAATATCACCATGACTACTAATCAGATCGATTGATATCAAATTCAAAAACAAGCTAAATGTTAGTGGACTTTTGACAGTTTGCAAGATCAAGAAAAGCAAACAAAAAGGGAGAAGTAGCATGAACACATTCATTATGGTTTATGAATGAACCAGCCATCAATGGTTCAGCGTATTCTGCCCCAGTACCTTGGGTGGTGCCATCGGATATTCTTCAGGCAAAAATAATTCCAGCTTGAATACACCTCCTGATCACCAAAGAACAAACGCATTATATAATGTTATCCAACTGGGACAGGAAGATGGTAATTTCAAACATGTTATACCACAAACCATCATATTAAGTTGTAACATAACACCAACATGTAGCAGAAAAGCACCACGACATGTGCAACAAGAGTTTGATATTTCAAAGCTTTACCCAAACAAGTACATCCAGTAAATATCTTCACAAATGCTCTCAAAGCGAAGTAGGTATACTATTTTTCCTTTCAAGCTGGACAAAAGTGAGTGACTGCACAGCACAATGGAGTAAACCTGGTCCTTGATAATCAGTAGTTATTTTCTCAGGTAACCGACATTTGCTCTCCAATACTCTCACTATGTAGACTCCACAAGGTTAATTTTTCCGGTAAGTTTGTCAGATTCTTTAGTTCTATTCCACCGCAAAGACCCAAAGCAGAATGAAAGGTCACCAAGTTCTTTTGAGTGGTCAGGCATTTTCAGGTACTGACCGTGGGACTAAAAACTGACACCTTATAGGGCAATTTACAACATCATGCATAACATTTGTCCAGCCAATAAGCTATCATCTAACCTCTATATGCATAACTAAAGCATTACATAAAGTGAGGGATTTTCTTGTGTCATTATTCCCATCTAATACCCCCTTCAAGGGTGGGAATTGTTAGATGAAATGATAATTTTTAAACGGAAGTGAAACTTAAGCTGAGGCACAGGAAATTGTACAAAGAGGAGTCAGATGTGGTCTTATTGGACAGCTGACAAAAATTAAGCCCTGCAAAGTTCTTTCTACAAAGCACTTTCCAAGCTACAGGGATCAAGGATGAGTTATTAATCAATTACACTGCTTTCTATCAACTAGTTAACCTCATTGTACATTCAATATACTAAGAACAGAGTGATATAAAATAGCAAAAAGAGAATAGTACAGTGTCCAATAAGTGAATTTTGAAATTTGTCAGAAGTATCTTTTGCAACTCCATAAGGAGCTGACAATAACCGGAAACAGGCTTCACTGGATACTTTTGCCGTATGCCATGAGGCATAAAACCCAAGGTGGCGTTCTAATTCAAGATTCCCACCCCTTGATAATAACTATATTGATGAAGGCCAAAGTAAGACCAAAACAAACCACATATCCTACTACTTAAACTTGTTCATAGTTAAAAAATTTTGATAGGACATTCCACAATCAAACAGCTGACACTTTGATTAATATCTAATGGTTGCACCCATGATATTTCCATTTTCATAACAAAAAATCGAAACTACATTTTAATCCAAACATTAACCACTGTAAAAAAAAATTTAAAAGAAAAAAAAAAACAAAAAGGAGGAGGGCTAAAAGTACTTCAACCCCGATCATCAAATCTAACAGAGTCATCAACCCAACTATTTTTGGTTAAGACAAAAATAACAAAATGAAGGATGACAATAAGATTTACACCTTGATTTCTTTCAACCTCATCTAACCAATAGATACAGAGGCAATTTATAGCCCAAAAAAGAAAAATAGAGCTACCTTCATAAGGAGATTGTGCAGGGCCAAGTATCATCACATTGAAATACCGCATATTTTCTTCGGATGGTGAAGCACTGATCCCCGGAGCTGTAATTACCATTGGTTCATGAATCAAAAAGAGTAACAAAAAAAATTCTACAGGAATCCATTTACTTTTAGATATCCAAAAGAAAATACATCTATAAAGTTTAAGATCAGAAAAACAACCAATATCGAAACTAACTTCAATTACATACAGCCAAAAGTTTACCTGGTTCACTGAGAAGCCGCTGCGTTTCCTGCCCAAGGATATAATACCCGACAAAAACACAAACGAAAATTCAATTAACAAAAGTAACTAAGAAGTTCAATGGAATAAAAAACATGCAGAACAACGACATATACCGATGATCACAGTAATCAGAAAGTGAAATAAAGAGAGATTTGTTTTCCAAGAAGGAACAATAACCTTTATTATTCGTCTGGGTAAATTGCTATTGGTCGCCATTGAATTTCTTTAGAAGATAAAAGAAGTAACAATTGTTGCAGAACTGGTGGCGGGAAGTGCCGGCGAAAGGAGGAGAATTGGAAGGAGTTGGGAGGAGAAGGGTTTAACAACTTTAAAGCTGGAATTGCTTAATATGAAAGCCATTATTGTTGACATTTATACTTCTCCTTACTTATTAAAAATGTCAACCATTACCAATTTTTTCCATGATTGTATTTTCCGAGAAAGGGTATTTTTTTTTTAATTATTATTTGAGCAAAGTAACATCGGGTATGTTTGTTTCGTTTTTTTTGGTGTGTGTTTTTAGGTATTTTTTGTATTGGGAATGTAAAAAGGTTTATTAGAAATATAAAAAGGTATGCTGGGATGGGACAGTTATTATTTAAATATTTTGAAAATCCCATCAAAAAATTCTAACAAATTCGTTTTTTTATTCCCATTGGGCATTAATATATTTTTGTACTGTATTCAAAATATTATTATATATTTATATATTAAATTTATATTTTTATATAATATAAAAAGAAATTGGAGTATAAGAAATTAATCTTGCATCTTATATAATCATTATCTATATTAAAGGAAAGAAAGATAATCGACACGTGTCGCCAATTCAGACCATCAACATTTTCTTTTCTTTTTTTTTTTTTTTTGATAAATGGCCATCAACATTTTCAGAGACACATGTCATTAAATCATTGGATGGTCATTAAACAGTAAAAATTTTATGTGAACCGGTAAATCCTAAATTTTACTTATTACTCCCTCTGTCCCACAAAAATAGTCCAATTTAATAAAAAAAACTTTGTCCCAAAAAAAAGTCTCGTTTCACAAAAAGTCAAAATTAATTGAATTAAAATGACTTAAATATCCAAAAGAGTAGTAGTAAGGAAAACAAGATTCACTTCCTTTGATTTTCATTTTTTTAGTTTTCTCCTATTTTTTCAAATGATTATATATTTTAATACATGAATAATTAAAAAATGTGTTATATATCAAATTAATCTATGTAACGAGATCTTTCCATCAAGATCCATTGTCAATATTTTTTGAGATAAAAATTTTGATCAAATTTAAATTATAAAATAAATGCATATGTAGTTAACTTTTATAGAAAAAAATGCATTTGGACAAGAATTTTCAAAACCCCTTTAGTAGTTAATAAAATGAAAAAGCCATTTGGATTAGATCTTTTTCAAAAATACTTTTTGTTAAAAAATAATTAATTAACTTTTTTAAAAAAAATAACATTATTCTTTCACAAATTTTTATTTTCATTTTTTCACTTTTCTTTTCTAAATTATTTTTTGATTATTCACAATTATTTTGTTCTAAATTTTCAGTAGAAGTATTCAGCAGATGGAGATAGAACTAACATAAAGATGACTGGAGTATGATGATGCCAAGAGACAAGCTGGGATAAGCACCATGTTCTCATAATTCCGGCCAAACAAAAAAAATGAAACACAATGATGCATTTCCATTCCATCCTGTTCTTTTTTCCCAACTGAAACACAACAGACCGCAAGTGGATATAAACTTTGGAGATGCGCTTTCCAAAAAATGATGCATTTCCATTTTTGACTTCATATACAACTGGAAATATATACAAGTTAAGCAACACTGTGGTTAATCAGAAAGATTAAACTCAAACTCCATCTACCTCCTCCAAGAGCTTTTGCTCATAGGGATGGCCCAGATTTGTAGTACAATTCTAATTAGTTTCTAGTTGTAAAACTATACATGTGTCAGGAACTCTTCAAAAAGGAGTCTCACAAAATTTCCCATCTATCCTGTTTTGCACTGCTTTAACTGCAGCCACTCTTGCGGCAGTTGCGTCTTTGTTTGCAGCCATTACTGCCTTGTTTACTTGTTCATCTATCGTGCGAATATGAATCGATTTCTCAGCAGTTTTTCTAGCACCCTGCAAATTTCACAGAAATTAATTACTGTTAGATAACATTGTTAGACTTGGAGATTAGGAATCAACTGGCATTGTTGACCAAAGAGTAGTGCTCAGAAAGTTACATGCACTGCTCGAAGGACAACATCACTTGATGGAGGTAAGGCAGCTTTAATTGCCACCATCCCATTCCCTACATTTTTTGTCACCATTCCTGAATATGTAATTGCCATTAACCTTGTTTCCTACCTTCATGCCATGATCCCTCGTAACAATGGCCATTTGCAAAATGATAAACCCCAAAACCATGAATTTTATCACCTAAGTATTCACCAGCATACCAATCCTCATTCCTGTAAAACAACCAGATTCATTCCCAGTTACTAAAGCATAGCAACAAATGTCATATCTCTAAATTTGAAGTGGACGGAATTTCAGAGGACTCTCTCTGCTAGATCATAACATGCATGTTAAGTGAATCAAATTTGAAGTGGAAAATGTACGTTCGAGATGAATCAAATTTGACTACACCATTCTCTCACATCTGTGGCAGGATCATACTGATTCTGATTCTTATTAAAAAAAACAAACACAAGTGCCCTTCTTTACCAATCCGAAATTCTGAATAAACAAAATATTTTCCATATCTATACAGCCTTGACTTAATTGTTCAGACAACAAAATGATGTATCCTCATTACAGAATAACGGAATCACAAATTCCCATCACTTTAACTTGGAACAAACAAGAATTGAAAGGGCCCTGACTGTTAATTTTGGAATCATCAAAGAGACTGCAACATCTTAATAGAGCTACTACACCCAAAACAGAGGATTTAAAATTATCCCAGGAATTAAAAGTTGACTCACCTGAAATGGTAGACACCAATGCCATGTTTGACACCATTTTTGAATTCACCAATGTAACAGCTGCAATCGGAGCAAGATTGCATTCCAATACCATTGACTCTGGCCTAATCTAAAATTTGCAGAATATTCAGCAGAAGTATTCCGCTTCTCATCATCATTGCAAGTGCTTATTACAGTAGCAAAAACAAAAGATTCACAACAAGCGAAAAAATAAAAGACCTTTTATTATGCATATGCTTATACTCATTGCTCCCAGGAACAAGGGGGGAGGGGGGGCAATGTCTAATATCCAAAGTTAAATAAACAAACACATCACCATTTATAACCATATTGCCAGAAGTGTAAACCTTGGAAAGAATTTATACAAAAAGTTTCAAATATAACAATCAAAGTTCTGTGTAAAACAACAACAAGCCTTTCTCATACTATGTGAGGCCGCATTATAAATCATATGTCCCATCGTGCTCAGTTACTAGTGCAAAGTGATAAATCCAAATAATTTTTCTCCACCCGAAGTTTTGAGAATCCAAATCAGTCTCCAAGTAGTAGTTATCTTAACAAACAAATTAGCATAAACAATGACTTACTTGATTTGTAGCTCGAATACAATTAAATATTCCAAAATCATAAAGCATGTCTTACAGATTTCTCCTCGCACTGATACAAAGGGCTAAAACATGAAAAACTAAAGTGAATTATTAACCATTTACTAATACCCAAATCTACAGCAACTTTTTCAAATTGAACCTGAATTTTCTTACTGCAGAATAACTGATCAATCTCATGTCAGGATCTCATAGAAAAAAACTTTGTGATACACAAACGGTTAAATTTTAAGCACATATCTACACTTTACAAGCATTGCAGAAGATTTACGACCTCATTTATACCACAAAATACTAATACACTAAACCAGACCATGAAATAGGAGGAAAACAAATAAGGACTTTAAAGGAACTACATAGATACAAAGAAGGTAGATAATAAACTGGTTAACCAAGAGCATCTCCATGAAGAAAAGAAGTAAGTAAAACATCCCATAAATGACGAATAACCAATACAGCAAGGGGAGAAAAAAACACAAAGAAGGAAACTTATTGTCCCTAGTTGCCGCTACTCACAAACTGCACCAATTTCCCCAAGATCGGCTCAACCTTCTTCCTCTCGGCTTCTCCTCTTGCTCTGATTTGCTTCCTCCGATCCTCCCAATTCACTCCGGCTACAGCCCTTCAATCAATCTTAAGCTTATTGAAAGTTACGACTGAAGCCCCTGAAAGAAAAACCCATCTGAAAGCTTCGAAGGGATGGTGGGTGCTGGATCGTCGTGCCGCACGGTGGAACGAGAGAAGAGTGAGAAAGTGAGACGGCGAATCTAGGGCATGGGCAGAAAGTGAGAGAAGGCAAAGTATTTTTCCTTTATATTCATCACCAGAATTTTTTATAACCCGCCCTAGACCCGGTTTAAGACCCGCGAATAGAGAAAAAGCATGTTTCAAAAAATTGAAAAACACCCCCTACCTATTTTTTAAAAAGTTTGTTTCAAGCCTCTTTTTTTTCAAAATGATGGTTAGAAAAGATCTTAATTATTTTGTCCAAACGCATTTTAAACTCTAAATAGATTTTTTAGCCTTAAAAGTCTTTTTAAAACTCTTGTTCGAATGGAGCCTTAATTTGATTTGTCCTTCTTTAACATTGATGACATCCACGATCGTGATCATCATAAATCCGACTTCCGACTAAAAACAATGATGTTTCATGCCACCATTTAATCATTTTGCCTTTCTTAGGGGTTTTGTGGAACTCTTTAGATGATCATTTTTGTGTAAAAAACTGTAAATTTTAACAGTCTGAATTCAATATTGTAGTTCAGCGACGGAACCCTTTTGTGTATGACTGTGTGAGATTTAAAATCTCAACGTTGAAGACAAGGTTTCTTATGAATTTATTAATAAGCTCACCGCGAATGACTGGAGTTCATCACGGGGATTGTTTCGCGTGGTTGAACGGAGCGAAACGGCAAAACGGATGAACAATGAACCACAGAACAGCGAGCGATGAACGATGAAGAGCAGAATGGCGGAAGATAAAGTGTCAACAGAACCCGGCAAGATTCTCGGTTCCAACCTCATTAGCTCTAATTCCAGCATGGATCGGCTGAATTGAGATATGAGTTTTCTGTAACTCATCATGGGGATCATTTTGACTTAAAAAACGATGAGTGCTGTGCACCATAATGCGAGATCAGGGTGCAACGGCAGGGATCCCTTTGGCCAGCAAATACATTTTTTTGGCCGAAAAATTTCATATCGGGAGGTTGAAGATGAAAATTTTTAAAAAATTGCTAAAAAGCCCCATGTCTCCAGGAACCCTTGCACTTGAAAGCTGAAACTTTTAATTGGTTGTCAATTTGATCCTTAAAGCTCCATTGATGTGCTACCTGGTTCTTCAAGTTCGTCAATTTTACACTTTCAAGGACGATTGTGCCTTATAAGTTATCTTTTTGGTTATGGGCTAAATTCAAGTTGACCCGAAAGCAGGATGCGTGTCGGGAGTCCATACATATAGAGATTTAAACAGCAAAATAATGGAACCTGTGAAAAATACTTTCCGTATTGCAATATTTTTGCTAATTACGAAATTTTTGAGAAAATATATTTGGGGGAATGAATAGAATAAAAAAGGCATAAATTTATATTAAAAGTTCGAACAAAATAAATTTAAACAACCATGAAAGTAGTATTACCCTCTGGTGTAGTTATGGAGAACTTTTATTGATTTATTATACTATCATAAAGGAATATCGATTAGTAATGCCATTTGATCTGTTAGTATTGTTTAATTTAACACAAAGCCGCCCATATCAAATATGGACAAAAAACTGAAGTTGTATTATGATATATACTCCTACAACTGATACAAAATAATTAACTCAAAAAAAAATAATTAGTGGCTATAGTATTTTCTAATCAATATTAATTGGAAGAATGCTTGCTTACTCTTTTTTTTTTTTTTTGGATTGGTTGTACTAATTTAATAATGAATTAATGACTATAATAAATTGCATATGTGTTATGACTATTTGATAATTTGAAAATAGGAATGTTCTAATGGTCTCAATTGGTTTCAATAATTTTCAAGAATTAATTAGAATTATGGTTTAAGAATTATTAATATATTGACTAGAGGAGATTAAAATAAAAATTATTAGTTAATTTAGTTTTGTTAATCTATGTGAAAATTGGTAACTCTTTTGACAAGAACTCGACGCTCTACTCCAAAGGTTTGCGAAAGATATCTTAATGAGGAAGAGACTACATTACACCTTTTTGTCAATATTCCTTTAAATATCCCAATAATGGGTTGTCAAAAATTAGATATATATTTTACATATTCAAATTTGATTTTATTCCTAATTTTTATTTTTTGTAAACCGCAGACAAAGAGATGGATAAACGCGATATAAGTTTATATAGGTGACATGAGTTTACTTGATAATATTTGAAATTTTGGGGTGATTTGTGGTGATGGTATTTGACGGGTTTAGATCAAGAAACGAGTTTTGGTTTCTTTTGTATATGGTGATAAAAACAAAATGAAATTCAAATATTATTATCTAAACGCATATGCCTACCGTGTCCAAGACCTTGAAATCTCTTTGGATAAGAAATTAAATAACACTTTTAAAGAATTTCTCTTTGGTTAAATGAAAAGTTATTGCTCATTATTATTATTTTTTTTTTTGGTTCAACAGGCTGTCGAAAACGAAGATGAAAAGGTAAAAATGAAGATGGAATGAGATCTTCCAGTTCGTATTCCTTTTTTTTTTTTTTTTGTGGTTCAACAGAGATTGTCAAAAAAATATTAAAACTGCACCAAAACCATTATTTGTTATCAACCTACCAAATAATCAGAATCTTTTAACCAAAATAATACAGAGTGACGTACTGTTAAAGATAAAAATAAAGATGGAATGAGACCCGCCGAAAGACGATTCTTTCATAATTAGATAACACTTTTGAAGAATTTCTATCCAGACAAGTAACTAATGTTTGATTCTTTTTTTTTTTTTTGGAGGGGGGTTCAACGGGTTGTTAACAAAACAAAGATGGGAGATGAAAGTGAAGACGGAATGAGATTTTCCACTTCTTCTTCTTCTTCTTCTTCTTCTTCTTCTTCTTCTTATTATTATTATTGTTCTTCTGTTCAACAGGTTGTCAAAAAATAATTAAATACAACAAAACTATCGTACCTCCAAAAACTCGAAATCTTTTAAGTAAGACGATACAAAATGACATGTTGTTAAAGATGGAAATTAAACTGGAATAAGATCCGAAAATTCAAAGACGGTCCTTTTATAAGTATATAACACTTTTAGAAAACAATTTGGACAAGTAAGTAGTGTTTCAACTTTTTATTTATTTATTTATTTTGTGTTCAATGGGTGGTTGAAAACATAGATAGAAAGATAAAAATGAAGACAGAATAAGATCTGCCGGTTTTTTTGTTTTTTTGTTTGCATTCAACGGGCTGTCAAAAAGTACTAAAATAGCAGCCAAAATTCCCTTAAACTCTTACAATCCCAATAATAGACTGTCAAATCTAAGTTACTTTCTAATTTTTATTTTTTTTAACGGTAGATAAATAGATTAAAAAAAACGAGGCATGAGTTTATTTGAGAAAATTTGAAATTTTGGGGTGATTAATGGTGATCGTGTTTTATAGGTTTGAAATGCAGCCCCCTCTCTCCCTTCCCCCTTCCGGGTCGAAGACCTGAAAATATCTTTTGACAAATAAATAAATAACACTTTTGAATAATTTTTCTTTGGACAAGTAAATAATGCTTCGGTCGTTCTTTTTTTTAACAGGTTGTCAAAAATGAAGATGAAAAGAGGAAAATGAAGATAGAATGAGTTTCGCCATTTCTTATTTGTTTTTTAATTTTTTTATTCAACAGATTGTTAAAAAAAGTAAAATTGCAGCCAAAACCATAGCTGGTTTTTAACGTACCTGAGACTTGAAATTTTTTTTATGCAGAACAATATAAAGTGACATACTTTTAAAGATGAAAATGAAGATGGAATGAGATCTCTAAAAGACAGATCTTTCAGAGATAGATAATACTTTTAAAGAATTTTTCTTAAAAAAAAAAAAAGTAAATGCTTGGTTTCTTTTTTTCTGTTGCATTTTTTGGTTCAATGGACTGCAACAAAATAAAAATAAAAAGATAAAAATAAACACGGAATAAGGTTCGTCGGTTCTTCTTCTTAAGCGAAGGCAATTCCCAATTCTCTTATACGAAGACAATTCCATTCATTGCATGTTTTGCGATGAGAATAGATAAGAGGTAGGGCCAGTCGCAATCGCGATAATTTCACAATAAAAATGTGATTCGATTTTTATACTTAATTGTGACATGTACAATTAATATTATTTTACACACATTATATAATATAATATCTTAATACCCGCCGTGCAACGCACGGGTTACATACTAGTAATAAGAATAGTCTAAATTGTAAAATATGCAAATGTATACAAAAATTGGAGCCTTTAATGTTATATAATTTAAACAATTGTACTATAATAAAGTAGATAGTATTATGCTTTTTTTTTTTTGGTTACAAGTATTATGCTCATTTTTCGTTTTTATAAAACTGTGAGACTGATACAATTTTCATATATCTAATTTTTGAAAATTTTAATTGTGGAAGTTAGATTTTTACCATGTAAAACAAAAGAACTTTTTAATACTCCACTAGACCCTCTTTAGCACAGAAATTTTTGAAATTAACCAAATTAGTAAAAAAAAAATAAAATTTGGAGGAACTGTGATAGTATTTCCTAATTCGATCATCCAGTTCCACAGATGAAAAATTGTTTCATGGCTAAATAGCCTATCTTAGCCAATAAAAATGGTTACAGATTTGTAAAAAGGGATTTCTTTTTTCTTCCCATTATATTTTAGAGGGAAAGGGAAAAATAGATGCTGCTACATGAGGAGGGGCATGCAGCCAGTGCTATTTCTCTTTATAGATGCTGCTACATTAGAGCCCACCAGGGCTATTCTGTAGCAGAACTGTTGTCTAGAAATGCAAGTTCTGGAAAGAATGATCTGCAGGAGCCACCGGAATACTCAGACGAATCCAAAGCTGCATTGGCGATCAACTTGTCCTCGTCTTGTATTTCAAGATTGCTTTCTTTGCCCTAGAAATTGCTCAGACAGAAGCGGAGAATGAAATTCAGAATTGACACTAACGTAACAGATTAAGAAGATTCTGAATTGGGACTTGGGAGAAAAGAAAGCAGCTGTGGAATTACCATGTCGTCAGATTTAGATCCTCTGATATACCCAACAAGCAATAGCTCCAGTTCCTGGTCAGGCGCATTTTCACTGTTGTCGTTGATCACACATGCTTGCTGAAAAATACATACGCCAGTATATTGTTACACAAAGAGGTGATATAGAGTACCTAAACTACCTACTAATCGCGTATTTTTGAATTCAGGGGTGCATATGGTGAAAGCAGCAGAGAATCAAGAGAATTTCATTGCACTTACCATTCTTTTCCTGAAATGAGATTTTTTGTGCTCCCATTCAATGCTTGTCAGGAACTTGACAATCTGTTGATCATGATTTCTTCTTGCCCAACCAAAGTAAAGACCTTGTAGTTGAATAGGAAGATATGGTCCACCCTCTGAATTTCGACAATGATTTAAATAGATACATGAAAACAAACTTTTAAACAAGGACAACAAATACAGTAACCAATTCAAAATGTGAACCTCCATTGTGAATGAAAATCTGATATCTGCCGGTTAACTTTGTAGCATCTGTCTGTATATAATGTTTGGATTAAAAGGTTATTTAACACAGCTTGTATTGTTACCTGAATGCTCATGAAGAAGCCCATTGCTATGAACTCCTCTGACATAAATGGGTTCAATAGGCAAAGCATTGCAAACCCCTGCAACCATGAAAGTTATGATCATCTACCAAGCTAAACACGATCCAGGTTCTGTGAAAAGAGAAATGAAGGTGCTTGAAAGCAGTACATACAATCTTTAAATGCTGGAAGACCCCAAACATCTGGTTGGAATTCCAAAAGAGAATTAATCACAGAATCAGCTATATAGAATTTCTCTCTTTCATTCAGCAGTGATGGAACAGCTACAACATTCATTCCAGCAGCTTTTCCTGCTCTAACACCGACACTGCAAAAATTTGTGGATTCAGGGATATCGTGGTTATTGTCAACTTTCAATCTGTATCAAACTTGAGAATCTTCACTTACAGGGAATCTTCTATCACAAGGCAATAAACTGGCTCAACACCCATCTGCTTTGCAGCTTCAAGGTATCTGGAAGCATGTAGAAGGATTTACAACTCAATCTGCATATAATACAACAATGTAATCTAACATGACAGAACTACTAATACACCCAATTATATCAATGACATAATTGTTGCAGAGACTGCATTTCAATTTTGACAATGTTCTTTAGTCACTGGCGGGAATGAACAGCAACACACCACCAAAAAACTATATGTTTCTTCTCTGGAGATGCTTATTCCAGAACATATAACCACTGAGAAGTATTCCGAATAGCACGTGTTCAGAAAAGTACAATCTAAATGCCCTAGATATAAAATCTCGTTGACGCATTTTAGTTTTACATGACCACATACACACACAAAACACATTTACAAGTTGAGAGATATAGTCTTACATGTCAGGTGCTGGTTTCCCTGATTTGACCTGATCACTTCCAAGGATTACCCTAAAATAATCTTTCCACCCTACCAAAACATGAACGCAATGCAAATTCAAGTTTTAATGAGTAATCATCACTACCAATCTGTACCACAAATCAAGGTTTACCTAAAATGCCATAAGCTGTGCAGCCAAATGTGAAAAACCGAAACGAAAAATAAAACAGTCCACCAAATTGATTCAACCGTGTAAATGCAGGATTTCAATAGTAATGTCAAGTTCCAGTACTTGTTTAAATGCGAAAAGAATATCAGCGAGAAGGAAAACATTCTAATACATTGAATTTTTAGATAATGCTTAGTGCAGGTGAAATTCTCCCAAGGAACAGAAAAAGAGGACAAAAGACAGAGAATGAGAAGCTGAAATGTGACTAACAGGAACCGAAGGGGAAAAAATCCATATTCTAGCGACTGTAACAAGGGGATTGAGTAACTGAACCTTGGTGATTGACCTTGTTATGTATTGTCATCCTTTCAGCATTGGAAGCAAGTCCAAATGGCACGCCGTGCTTATGGAGATGTTTCATGAGTCGGGTAGCCCCTGGAAGGGGTTTAGTTTTCTGCCACCTGAAATAAGCATGAACAAGACTCAATTTATTTCAAAACACAAAATTAGCACTGCCAAATCAATTCAACTCATACAACAAATATTGCCCATTCACAGATTGCACTTTCAAATCACTAAACTCAAAAACAAAACAAAGCATTACATTCAGGAACAAAAAAAGACTTACGTTCCCAGATAGAGAGGCATAATGCCTTCAACATATTGTTCAAATGTGAGTGGAAGATCATAGTCTTCAATGGTGGTCAGAACCGTCTCCTTCCATAGCATTCCTCTTCTTTTACTCTCCTTCTCCATATCGTAAACCTTCCCATATCTTGCGAGAAATTCCTTAACGACTCCCTCAGTAAATTGCTCTGCGAAAAGGGGTAAAAACTCCACAATCTCAAATCATGAACCGGAAATACATTCTTTACTTTTTGTACAAAGAGAAATCACTAACATGGAAAGAGAGGGAGACCTGAATTCAAAAGGGTTCCGTCCAAATCAAAAATGACAGCCTTGATTTGATGAACTTTTCCGGCTTGACACGAAGAATACTGCTCGAGGTCGCCCATGCTCTGCTGCGTTCAAGTGATGCAGCACTCTCTTCTTATTTCCTTAGCAGAATCCTATTAAAATTAGAAACTATGGCTGTGTAGCCTGCCTGTGGAAGTGGAATACAAACATATCATTCTTTATTAACACTAATTTTATCATTGATTATTATAATTTATGAATGGTTGAGATAAATTCATTTTCTTTTGTTTTTTCTTTTCTTTTTTTAATTTTGCTCAAGAACCCTAAAACCATTGATCCCGGATTACTGTTTTTTTTTTTTTTTGTGACAGGTTTGTTAAGAAAACAGGGCTCTGGGTGGGTATCAATTCCATACTGCAATTAGGAATGTGAATGGACACTCCATTGAAATGAATGATGAAGTACTGAATTTGGAGCTCGAGTGCCCTGAACTGGAAGCCATTGGGTCAATTCAAACAAAACAAAAACAAAAAGGAAAGGAATCTGTTTACTTTATTCTTATGTTTTTTAGAATTATCCCCTAACATAATGCTTCGCTTGCTACCCTGGATTATTTGTGTCTGTTCCCGGAATTCTAATCTAGCCCTACTTTTGCATACTTCCTGTTTCAGAAATTAGTGAATAAAAAGCAAGTTCTGTAGCGATGACTCGTGAGGAGAAAGAAAAAATTAGGAGCAGATCGTCAAGAAATGTTGTATGAATTGACGTATTAAATACAATAAACTTTTAACTTTGAATTTTACATTTTTCACAAGTAAATGGTTTGTTACGTTTGTGTTATAGGGTTTTTGTAACTCATCAATCAGCACTTGAGTGGTTTAGCTGTTTAGCATCTACATTCTATAGTCGACTGGTAGCTACATATGGAATTCAACCATGGCAATGATTAGATAAAATGAAGTTGCAGACATCCTCACTCTGAAGTTGAGGTAATCAGCCTCGGACAAATAAAATAAAATTCCTACAGCCCGGAACAATGCTCGAAAACTCGGTACAAATTATATGCGGATGGAAAAAAAATCATGAGGATCAAATCACACCATACAGCACATAAAAAACTCAATGTAAACAAGCTACAATGAGACCCCGAAACAACACATCAAATCCATCATGACGTATAACCAAGATTTCCCGAACATCTTTGCTCTCATTCATTCATTCCCTCGATAATGTAGTTTTACACGTTCTGCTGCTTCACTGAAATAGAACCAGAAACGGTTGATTAATTATTGACACAACATACCTTCTCTAGGATTACAAATGCTGGTCCATTATTGGGACAGCGTGCTATGCTATGAGGAAGGCAATGTTCCGGCGGAATATTATTAGGTCACGCAGAGGACATGAGTTCGATATCTCGGGGATATATGTGATTTGTGTCTGGGTCTTCATGCAATAACAAACAGAAAAGAAAAGGTTAAGCAATTCACAACCCACCAACCTCTGCATCCTGACCACCTCCAAGCTTGCTGCCACCATCAGCCTTTGTACCATCATCTACAGTCGTCACCCAAGGAAAAAGAATGAGGAACAATTCAGAATTGCAGATGATGATCTCAAGAGAATATTTGCATAAATTCTTGGAACAAAATTACAATTGCAGATAACTTGATCAGAGAAGTGACAGAAAACTTGCAATAAACATGATTCGTGGGCAAGTGGCAACAATCAAATATGAAAACATTCTTGCTGTGATGAGCCAAACCTCTCTATGCTGGATACTCACACCATCATAGACAAGTAACAAGTAATCTTTAGTGGCACGTGCATTAGTGAAAATATGAACCTTGATCAATCAAGTTATGAACAGTAGTAACATTATCACTCTAACAATAACCAATAGATTCATTGAGGAATGATGGACATAAGATCCAACTACATTGATGTGTTGCCAGTTATCACGTTGTCAACATAGTCATTACGAGGAGTTGAAAAAAAAAAGCTAGAGAATTTCGCTTCTTTCAAACATATAATTTAATACTCTTCATTTAAGTAACTTATCAATGTTGAAAGTGAAATGATTTGCGAAGGAGTCAAAGAAATATCTTTAAAAACAGCAAGTCAGGAAAAGAGTAGGCAAAGACGACAGTGCAGTTACAGGTCAAACAAGTGCAGTTTCTCTTTGTAGATAGTATCTTCAACGAAGTATAGAGAATTGCCAATTTCTCTATCGAGCAAGAGTAACCAATTCTCACATTCGGGAAAGCATTAGGACAACAGGAATGGACTTCCACCCAATGGTATCAAATAGACAAATTTCACATGAATGCTAGTCAGTTTAAGGCAGGAAAACTTGGGAAGCTAGCAGTAAACATTTACCTTACTTTAAGGAAAAAATATATATACGAAACATTTTAAAAGGTAAAAAATGTAGATTGCACCAAACCAAAAAAATACCCATTACCATTGGTGAAAGAGAAGAGAAAAGAATGACATCAAAAATACCTGATCAAGAAAATTTTACTAATTCGACTACTGAAAGTGCTGACACATGTTAGAGCTTTTAAGTACCTGCATCTTCTGAGATGTCAGAAGTCCACAAGGTGAGGTTATCCCTGAGGAGTTGCATGATCAATGTGCTATCTTTGTAAGACTCCTCGCTGAGGCTATCAAGCTCTGAAATTGCTTCATCAAATGCCTGCTTTGCCAGGTGACAAGCCCTACAAGAAGAAATTTGTGTTACGAGCTGCAACTTAATCAGCGGGTCTCAGAGACGACCGTGTCTATCTCTATAACAGACATACAAACCTCTCAGGCGAATTGGAGATTTCGTAAAAGAAGACTGAAAAGTTCAAAGCCAAGCCCAGCCTAATGGGATGAGTTGGAGGTAATTCAGCTTCAGCAGCGCTGGTAGCAGCCTGAAATCATTTTTAAATGGAATGTTATGAAGAAGTACAAATTTAACGGATCATATACGATTCCAAAAGATGAATTACACAACTACTAAATAAAGAGAAGATTTGTAAGAAGACGTAATCAAAAGTTCAACCACAGCTAAGGAGTCTCTAGGAAAACAGCAGAAGACCTTCAAGAGATGAAGATTTCAACCCAATCGATGAACAGCGAGTACATCTCCATTGAAAACAAGTGCAAATAAAACTACTAAAACTAAAGTATAAATAATTTTTTTTAAAAAAAAAAAAAGATTATCTGGAAAGATGAGTCAACACACAGTCAAGTCTCGATTATAACTAACCAATGACAACAGGGGAAGAGGAATTTCAGCCCACGTTAACAAGCAACAACAATTTTCGGCGTCAAAGAGAAAAAAAAGGTACTTTACCAAGGGCATTGATTGGATTCTGTGTATTTCATCAAAATAACAGAAACAGAAATAGAGTTGAGGAAACTTGTAAAATACTCACCTCATAAGCTTTCTGAGAAAGGTCAGCAACCTCTTTCCTTTCATTACCAGATTTGAACTCAGCAAGATACCTATAATAATCCCCTTTCCTGCAGAAAACAGAAACAAGAACCCTTTAATATACACTCAATAGCTAGCATGTTCTCGTAAGATCAGAGAGAATGTAGCAACTCACATCTTATAGTAAAACACAGATGACTCCCCAGCGGCGCATGATGGAATAAGATGCTCATCAATGACTGTCATGATATCATTACAAATGTCAGTAAGTTCATTCTCCACCTTCTGCCTGTACTCTTTAATCCTCCTTGCATTTTGTTCATTCCCTCTCGACTCCTCTTTTTGTTCAATTGATGACAGAATCCTCCAAGAAGCTCTCCGAGCTCCAATCACATTTTTGTATCCGACGGAGAGCAAATTCCTCTCCTCCACAGTCAACTCCACATCCAGCTTAGCCACATTCTTCATTGACACCACCATCTCTGGTCAAATAATTGAGCACAAGACATAATCAATGGCAATTGTCATCTAAATGGCACAACAAAGACAACAACTCAACCAAGGTATTTTTTTATTTTAAACAATCCACAGAACTTAATTTTGTACAGTAAAGGGAAGAAAGCAAAGAGACCAAAATTAACACTAAATTTGAAACCAAAAAATACTCAATAAGCCGAATTTGAAAATTCATACCGCCCAACTCAGAGCCAACACAAGACTGAAGTAAATTAAATGAACCCAGAAACAGATAATCATCTCCCATAAAAACTAAGAAAAGCTCTCCAAACATTTGCAAGAAATTAGCAAACTTCAACGCCAAAAACCACCAACAACTACAAATCTCAACATTTTGACTTTATAACACCAACCCAGAAAACCGAGAAACAAAAAGATCCAAAATCTTTCAAAAACATAAGAAAATTTTATTTCTAGATAAGATCTATACACAAAAACCAGAGTCTACTGTGCAGTCAGCTACAGTTCAACATGTGAAGAAGGTAAAATTACCATCGTAGCGTTCAGCTTGCTCAGCAAGTTTAGCAAGGTAGACGAAAGTTTCACGCTCTTTAGAGGCTGCCATCGCCGATCTATCAGTTCCAAAGTTGTTTTTCTGTGTTTTTTTTTCTTGATTGCAGTTCAGGTGATTAGGTGAGAGAAAAGCGATTTTTCTTTTTCTCTCTCTCTCTTTCCGAAATTGGAATCTATTTTCCGGCAAGAGTGAGAAAATGGCGTGACCGCGTGAAAGAAGAAGCGAAAATATCTAAGAAGGGCCTATTCAAACTATTGGTAAATTGCAATGAGCGGGTCGTACTATTGTGGTATTATAATTTGCCTCGTTTCACTTTTTCTCCTTTTGACAGTCAAAAGAGGTAATTAATTATGTGAACATGAAATCTCGAAAATGAAAGGCATTCCTCAAATTCACTCATGTAATTCAAAAATTTATCATTAATACTACGTGAAATTAAGAATAAAAGTGTCATCAAAGGGTTAAGAGTTAGTCATTTCTAGCAGTGACTTTATTCGGGTTGGTTCTAATCAGTCATTTATTTCAGTCATCTGATTCCAATTATAATCGACGGTAATAGAATCATGAGATAGCTATGTGCTACTACTCGCAACAAACGCCGAAATGACGATGATAGTTACTTACTAACTGCGTGCAATTTCTTTGATAATTACGAATATTCTCATATGGTTAATTAATAAGTGTCATCAAACACATCTTAGTAGCTAAAGGAAGGGAAATCAACCGAGACCCCGTTAGTAGCGGCGAGCGAATAATTAATGATTTTAGCTGTGACTTTATTCTAGTCAATTATAATCAGTCATTTATTTTAGTCTACTGATTCTAGTTAACCGACAATGACAGAATTATACGGAAGCTATGTGCTACTAATGACGATCATAGTTACCTACTAAGCGCATTCAACAAACCCGACAATGACGATGATAGTTACCTACTAAGCGCGTTCAATTTTTTTTGGTAATTACGAACATCCTTATATGATGATATATTTCTAATCGTGTTCACAATTTTAAAAAAAATTATATTCACAATCAGTAATTTATTGTAGTCGACTGATTCTAGTTAGAACTGATAATGGCGGAATCATACGGAAGCTATGTGCTACTAATTGCAACAAACCTGACAATGACGATGATAGTTACCTACTAAGCGCGTTCAATTTTTTTGGTAATTACGAACATCCCTATATGACGATAGATTTCTAATCATGTTCACAATTTTAAAAAAAAAATTGTATTCATAATCAGTAATTTATTATAGTCGACTGATTGTAGTTAGAACCGATAATGACGGGATCATACGGAAGCAATGTGCTAATAATTGCAACAAACCCGACAATGACGATGATAGTTACCTACTAAGCGCGTTCAATTTTTTTGATAATTACAAATATCCTTATATGACAATGGATTTCTAATCGTGTTCACAATTTACAAAATGCGCATTTATTTTTTCAAATGGGTGGTAATTTCTAGCATCCAAAACAAAAATAATTATTTCTTCCAAAATTAACCCTTATAGGATCAAAAGACTTTCGCTCCTCTTTTCTCCTCCATCCCTTGTATCTCTCCGGGTTCTACTTTTTCTACAACAATCGCATTGCTCTGCTTTCTCCATGCATATTTGCAGACTTATAAATTAGAAATCAAGTTTTTGCACAATTACACTAAAGTTTTTTTTAACTTCTTTGGGAGTTGTCAAGATTAGAAGAGCAAATCTCCTAATATAGCAAATCTAGACAAATGCTTGAAAAGGCGATAAGCTTTCTCAGTTTTCACAGGATCAGAGTTGCAAGAGTTTTGCAAAGACCAATTACATTTACATTCATTTTTTGAAAAATTGAACACTTTTTCTTTTACAAATAAACACATTAAATCTGGGGATTGATTGAATTGCTCCACGAGACATCAGCTAAATAAAAAATTATACCAAAGCATAGTAATCCCTCCCTGGAGTCTTAATCTTAAAAAAAAAAAAAAAACCACAAAGCAAAGGATGAAATTAAAATCAAACAAAATCAATCTAATCGAAGCAAACGGCTTAATCACTCAACTAGATCTTTAATCTTGATTATGGTGTTAGGAGATGATAGCCACTATTTAGAAAATAGTCCAGAAACATTTGGATTATGAGATTACCGGCCAGATGTTTTCAAAACCTAAGTCCAAAGGGAAAAACATTATGAACAAGATTATGCGGCCTGTCCTAGTATCAGTCACAAAATTCATCATCGTCGTTGCCGAGAGTATAAAAGAAGCGGAGATGTAGTTGATCGAAAACGGAAAAAAAAAAAATAATAATAAAAATAAAAAAATTAACGGCAAATTGGATTAGAGATCATATAAGGGTAAGAGAGGTCATTTTTGTTGTGGATGCTGAAAACTGTTTTGACTTTTGATAGGATCACCGCCCTTTTCAAATACTCAACGTTACGTATTTTTGGTAATTCATCATTTGTGGGTGAATGAATATATAAAAGCGTACAATGCATAAACTAAGCTAAAACTACACAATCGAATACTTGACACTGTTGCCAGTAATTCACAAACTGATAAAAAGGTTTAATTGTACCAAAATATGTTAACAGGGGCACTAATTTGTTTGCATTGAATCTAATTTTTCATACATAATTAACCCCCAAAAAAGTACACATAAAATTCAATTATGTGGCCAATTTCTCTTTTCCTATTTGTTGGATTCAATATTTCATTACATAACGGAACAACCATGAACAGATTCCTCACTAAATGCATCACCAGCCCAACTTCCAAAAATCCTTGATTGCCCATATTGATGATGGCCACCGTACGGCCCATAACCATGAAAATAAGCCTGTTGATGATCTTGTCCATAGTCATAACCATGCTTGTAGTAATTATATGAAGACGCCGCCGGTGGCTGCGAGATGAGGGCCGGCATATATCCGGCGGCCGGACCGCCGGCACCATAATTGTTTGCATTAGGAGGGACAACTGCAGTATTAGTATTGTGATTTTTAATCACAGGATCATAAGGGAGTTGCCAAAGTTCAGCCCGTCGTCCAGTTTTCCTAACGGTTTTGAGGACTTTCATTTGGTCCGCTGATCCTGTCACCGTCACCTTTTGCATGGCCACATCAATATCTATATTGTCTATTCCTGTTTGAATCAAATTATTAAGTGCATCAATCAAATTGTAACCATTATTTTACAAATGACGTAACAATTATTTTGAGACGAAAAAAATAAAATAAAATTTGCTTTTCGTACCTTTAAGGTGTCGGAGGGCTTTCCGAATCTTGCTGACACATCCGGGACAGTCCATATGAACTAACATTTCAACTGTCTAAACAAGCACAAAGCAGCAAATGATTAAGCACCAAATGACAGGGGAAAAAAAGAAAGATTATAAGCAATTTATAAAAATCCAGAAGAATATGTAAGCAAAATATGGAGGAAATACCGTCATTTTCTTTTTCCTGAATAATTGAAACTTCGATGAAAATAGGTTAGCTAGCTCTTGGGATATAACTCAATTGACAACTGGAAAATGAAATGCTTTGTGTTTGTAGTAAGATTATACGTAAAATTGATGAACAAACGAGTTGGAATGAAGCTTTATATAGGTGTGAGGGTTTGCTAACTGATTGCTTAAGGCAAGGCAAGGGTCGGTTTGTTAAGCAAATATACGTATTAGGGTTGGAGTATATATTCAAGCTACTTCAAATAACGGGCATTGACTTTCATAAAGGGTTCTGTATGAAGATTAAAAAGGGTGCCACTCGCTTGATCATTCAGTATATATATATATATATATATATATTTTTATTCAAAAAAATTAAAACATAATGAGAAATGTTCATTATTAAGCAATAAATTTGTTAAGATGTAATCAAAGAGAAAAAATAATCTAAATTTCTAAAGTAACAGTGGTTCCAATATTACAAATGTTCTCCAAAGTTAACACCTTAACAATATTGTAAAGGAAAACTCCCTAGACCAAAAGTTGCTAGTGATGCCAAATAAAACTGTCACGTACTAACCTTAGCTGGTGAATATATCTTAATTAGTTTTCACCACCCGGCCTTTCCATGATAGATTCCGGATACAGAACTAAAATTTACTCCCGTAACATCACCGATTCACCACCCAAAACTAGATTAATCACACTTCGATTTTCCACTTCCATCCAAACCTGACTCGAAAATCACTTCTTCCAAAATAAAAGCTTCACCTTCGTCTCCACTAATTCTCAGTTCGAGATGGAGCAACATCGGATCGATTTTCATTTTACGTGATTAAGATAGCTCGATAATTAGTTCGATAATTAAATATTCTATTTCTTCTAAAATGATTTTTTTAGTTTGAATCTTTTAGTTTTAATATAATGTTTACTAAAAATGATGATCTAAACTGAATAATCATTTCAGAACGAAGGAACTGTAAATCGCTTCATGTTAGTATTAGCTAATATAAGTAAATAAACAGCAAAATATGGTTTATGTACAGGAGAAGGGATGAGCATTGTGAAGCATGCATGTGATGGAATTAATGTATATCTTATTTTCAATTCCTTAAGCAATGTGTAACATGCAAGGGTGTGTAATGTTGATACGCCCCTCGGTTTCATAGGAAAATTCAAAAACAAGTATGGAAAAATAAAACGTTATGTTTAAATGGTAAATTATTCATCCTTAATAAAAAGTTTGATGTTTAAATCTGGACCACTGAGTATAGAATAGGTCTAAATCTTTAACAACTTCATTTTATAAATCGAGATGCTTATAATTTAATAAATGACTATTCATTGTTTACTGATAGTATATGTCTTCTATACAAAAGAAAATATACATGAAGAAAAAGAGAGAAAAAAAGTGGAACGATCTTATATCTCCTTGTGTCTTTTTCTTTCCTCACAAGTTATTAATCCTTGTATAAACCAACTGCTAATTACTGTATTAATAAAGATTAGAAAAAAGGAAAGGGGAGATGAGATGATCAATTAATTAGGTTGTAAAATTAAACCAACTAATAATCAATTTTTTTAGAAAATGAACTTTCTATTTTTTAAAAAACAAATTGGAATTGATTGAACACTTCCTAGTATACATTATGAACGTAGTGATCTGTAGTAACCCAATGTTGATGTGTATTGAGCCAATCTCTCTTTAGGGAACGACAACAACACATTGTCCACTCAGTCATACCAAGCTTTCACATAAAATACTGCAAAGCAGTTTTATAAATTGAAGAAAAAGTGAAGTTTTTGTAGATTTTTTTTTTGATAAAACTGTAAATATATAGCAATAATGATTAGAACTGAGTTTTGATAAGGTAATGTCCGTTATGTAATGTAAGTACTTTGGTAAACCTAACACTAAAAAAGTATGTACCTACATACGTCTATTTTATTATATATACTCTCTCTGTTTTTAAGAAAATAATTTAGATGAATTGTATAAATTTTAAAATTTGATTTGAGTTTTTTTTCGTAACACAGAGAGTGCAAAATTGTGCCGCATCAGTGTTTCCTTCTTCACTACCTTTCCATGCTCGACACACAAGACCTCTTACCTTCATTTCATCTTGAATGATATTGCGCATACCATTTCTACTGAGCTACTTTTTCTTTTAAGCCACAAATAATAAATGCAAGAACGACAACTGCGTAGAGATTCTTCTTCTCTTCATCTAGGTACTTTAATTTAGGCGAGAAAGTTTTGCCAACTTTGGTACTTCCTTTAACCAATGCAACGTAAAATCAGGCGAGAAAGTTGTAATACCAAGCGATTGGATTAATCTGCGCTTGAGATTTCTAGCATAACCACATTCAACAAAGAGATGTAGGATATGTACTCTCTTCCTGAGTTGTGCAGAGGTGACCTAAAAGATCATCAACGTCAAGCCGTCAACTGCACAACTCATACCCATTAATCTATTTTCGATCAGAATCCTATCCTTCCAAACTAACATATCGCATGTTTTGAAAGGTTTGTATCTGGATCAGGGTAATGTGATGCTGGGAATACTGATTACTCCGTCCCTCCTGAAATAATTGTACACTTTGAATTTTTATATTTTTTGTGCTTTGAAAGGTTTGTATCTCGGCCGGAGTAATGTGATACTGGGAATACTAATTACTTCTTCAGTTTGAATTTTTATTTTTAACACAACCGGAATCAATTCAAATGTAACAAAAGGAGCACTCACTTCATTCAGAAATTGACAATGATATGACATAGGGTTTAGCCAGCCAGACATTAACATCAGCTCTATGATTGATTGTACGAACTGAAACAATCTGCTACCATGAGCAGCTCAGCACCAAGGAGTAATTGGAATTGAATGCAAATATTGCCACGTTGCTTTATCATTTTGATCGCTGACATGAGAGTTCATCCAACAAGACGAATGATGTATTTGGAGTAGAGTACTCATCGGAGTACTACTCCACACGTTCAATGTCAAGACAGCGATTGAAACATTAAAGAGTCTCCATTGAAATTCAATTTCCACACCATGAAAAGACTCTTAATAAAAATATTTTGATACTCTATGAAGTCCAAAGGTACACAATATGAGTCAAATATATATACGGCCAGTAATCTTGCCAGGACAGTTTCTAGCATCCAGGGCAAAATTTTGCTGAACTTCCAAATCTGTCCCTCGTGAAGTCAAATTACATATTCTTTTCCGAGCTCCGGTCAATTAGCTTATTAATCTCAATTTTATTTCTCCCTCTCCCCCCTGCCGCCTATGAAACTTCAACGGCAACAGAGCTGCTGGTTTATCAGTTTTCTTTCGAACTCTGTTTAGGGTTAAGAGTTCTAAGATTTGTATAGAGGTTGTGAAAGCCAAAAGCGATCTTTGTTTACATTTAAAGTTTGTACAGAGGTTGCAAACGCCTTATGCGAACTCTGTTTAAATTTAACAAATTCTTGTTTGGGATTTTCCGATCATGAGCTTTTGGTGATGATGATGCTTCAGTTGGGAGTGTTTTGGATTGGTTTTACGGGTTTAATTTAATATCATCTTCCTCGTCTCCGCTTCCTAATCAGATCCAATAATCTCTTCACATCGATGATCGATCATTAGTTATCCGAAGCTGCCATGAGCCGCCTCACCAAGTACGTTGAACTGCATCTCCATTTTCAAAGAATGCCTTCTGTTTAAAGAAAGTTTCAGAGAACAGAGATTCATGAAAGAAGGGATACACGATTTCTCCGAGTGGTCCAAGGTAATCAAGGACAAAAGGAGCAGTTGATTATTATGCACGTTTTAAAAAATTGCTTCCTTAGTACGCATTATTAATCATTTGTTTAAGCTCTGCTCCTTCTGTTGCTGCACGCATCCTTCCAACTCCATTCCTATACAAAAAAATTATTTTATGACTTTGCAAGTTCTTCGTTTTTTCCACTAGGGGGAGGCCACATTGACAACTAAAATTCAATATGGAGATTACGAAGAAATCTTCCACAATAGTAATCTAATAATTCTAATGTTATATGCATTCATCCCACTTTCTCTGCAAATTTCTCTCCACTAAATAAGTTTTGCTCTGTGATTAGTAGTACTTCGTTTTTGTGCCTCGGTTCATAATGCATAAGCACGTCTGTTTTTTTTTTTTTTTTCAAGTAGACAAGTACTAATATTCAAGACATCACTTATTTTGAAGAAGCAACCAAAAAGGAAAAAAAGAGTACTAGCTACTACAAGTGAAATAAAGGCAGAAGCTCCTTGAATCTTTTTGCAGCACCCGACCCATGTAAGATACCGTGAAACAATTTCTACTTCTTAGATTCTTGCTCTGTTTCCAGGTTTATTTTTCACTTTAGTGGCTGATTCAATTAGCTTATTGATCTCAATAATCTTTTCCAATCTTTATTCTCTTTTGTGGTTTATGACTACCCATAGGGTTTACTCTGGAGTTTGTTTTGCAAATTGCAATCCCAATTAACTAAAACGATAAACCTTTTGCTTGAATTTAGGAAGGAGACGAATGAGAGAGAAACGTGAAGGAGAAATGAAAAAGATAATGCGAATTTCAGGAGAGAGGATTTCAATTTGACTTCATGAGGGGCAGATTTGAAAATTAGACAAAATTTTGCTCTGGATGCCAGAAATTGTCCTGGCAGAATCACTGCCCTATATATACTCTCTAAATAAAACTGTAAAAGACATTTCCATCAATTCTTTGTTAGGCATCACGAGATTTATAGGCAAATCCATATTTTTGCAAATACATACTTATTACTCCCTCCATTTCAAAATGTAAGTCTTTTTAGACTTGGTACGTAAACTAAGGAGACAATCATCCAACAATTAATTTATGTATTAAATATCTTTTTTACCCCTCATTAATAACATTGAAACTATAAACAAGACTAAATAAAAATAGATTAGCATCATTTATTTAGGGTAAAGTTAGAAAAATAGTCATTAATTTGCCTAGAATTTGTAAAACGACCTACATTTTGAAAAATCTCTCCAAACCTAAAACAACCTACATTTTGAAATGGAGGGAGTAATTATTAACTCATCGTGGCAAATCGATTTTTGCGGATACAAAGTTATTAACTATTAACTAATCGTACAATCAATTAGTAGCGTACATATAGAGTTACTTATTATTTATTGAATACGACTGACAGAAAAAGCACAATCAGAAAATAGTATCATCTATTAATTGTTTGTTTTTAAAAAAGCTTTTAAAACCATTAAATAATCATTTAAAAGTTCACATTCTTCTAAAAATAATATCGTCATGAATGTTAATTACACAAAGATTGTAAAAAGATTCACACAAATACACAACGAAAAAAGAGAAAAACAAATGAACATGACTCCATGAGAGGTCCTCTTATGGGTAATGATATTGTCAGAGCAGTTTTTAGCCTCCAAAGCTTTTATATTCTTTTCTAAAATTGCCCTTAATGTGATAAAGAAAAACTATCTTCCATGATCTTTCTCATATTTTGGCATTCTCTCTGTCGTCGCATCTCCCTTCCTCACCAATATTACAACACTCTCTCCAATTGTTGTAAATCAAAATAGTTTTGGTTTTCCTTTAATTATTTTGTTATTGGCTTGGTCCCTAATTCTCCCCCTAACCTGCTGTCGTGCTCTTTAAATTTGATTTTGGTCGTGGTAAGCAAAGAAAAAATTGAGTTCTAATGTATAGTCTGGGTAAGCCTCTTACTTCAATTCGAATTGGTCCTCCATTAAATCCTGGAACTATATTTGATTCTTTTTTATTATTATTTTGTGGGAGATTAGAATTAGTTTTGAGGAAAAAGGTATAATAGCCATCGAAATCGACTTGCCAGCTGATTTTGAGAACATTGGTGCTAGTTATCAGGACTTATTATATACAATCAGTTCGTGAAAATCATGAACGAATTGAGTCTTATCTCTAAAACATCTATATATCAAGGACGACCTCTTCTCCAGAGATGAATGAATCATTCATTGGATGTACTACTAATTCAACTTGAAAGTAAATGCCAAAAGTACATCTTGGGTAGGTTTTAATTGTATTCTCTTTTCATTGAGATCTATTTGATGACAATTAGTGTTTTATCAAATTGTCATCTAGGAGACATAAGTTTTGTTCATGAAAACACATAACCGAAACTGGAGTAGGATGGATTGACAATCAGGAGAGAAATTGACAGCGAGATAACGATGGACCTCATCAAGGATAAATTTGGTAAGAACATAATATTTGCTCTGAATGTTAAAAAATGCTCTGGTAATATCAACGACCTCCTCTTATATATATATACTAGTGATATCTGGTCGCGCAATGTGCGACTCTGGCCCAGTCTATCTGTAAATCTTAGAAATGTTTATATTTGAAAAAAAAATAAAATTTTATATTTGGAGCGATATATTTTAGAAATGTTTGAAGGATTTAGAAATGTTTTATAAGTGTGATCATAGAAATAATTGTATTTCACAAAAAAAAAAGAAATTGTATTTCGCCATGTAAGTTATAGAAATATTTTATAAGTGTTACTTATTAAATATAAATAGCCTTAATCGAATATATGTATTGAAGTAAATGTTAGATAAAATATAAAAACATCCTAATAAATTTAAATATTAGTAAGATGATTTATTGATGTTCGGTCGTGCCAAATCAATACTTAGTTTTGAAGATTTTTAATAGGTTTGTAATAAGCTTCACCCGCAGGGTATAAGCTTAAAACAAAATTGACACTTTGTAACAAAAACCTAATTGATCAATTTAACTTAAAAAACCACTCTAAATGAATGAAACATAAAGAAAATTTTTTTAAAAAAAAACGTGTCACGTAAAGTGCACAAGGGAGATTTAGTAATTTAGTTATGGTTTAGACAAAAGTGCAATTTAGTACTTTCTATATGCCACGTGGCAATCATATAGTAGGAGATAGAAATATATCTCATTCTTATCCTTTGTTTTAATTACAATTCTTATCTTCTTTTAAAAATCCAAGTTGAAAAAGAAATAGGAAATTTCCGAAATCTTTTCCAATAAATAGGGCATTACCCAACTCCAATTTACTCAAAAACAAAAAGTAATCCAAAAAACCCTTGTCTGTGTTTCTTCTTTCTCGCCGCCATATATTCAGAATATCCTTCAACCTTTTTCACTGAAATCAGCAGCAGCAATGGAGTACAAAAGGGGTGACAGAGTGGAAGTGATAGACAGCGAAGAAGGATTTGAAGGATCTTACTACGGCGCCGTCATCGTCACCAAACTCAACGGCGATGAATACATAGTCACCTACGACACCCTTTTGAAGGAGGATCTTTCCGGCCCGCTCAGGGAAGTCGTCGAGGCCGATAACCTCCGCCCCAAGCCGCCGCCTCCGGAGGGGGACCAGCCGACCAGGTACCGGCTGTACCAATCCGTGGACGTGTTCCACAACGACGGGTGGTGGGTCGGCCGGATAATTGGTAAAATCGGGTCCGTTTATAATGTGTTCTTTGACAGCACTCAGGAAGAGCTTCCATACGGGGTTGAAGCACTGAGGATCCATCAAGATTGGGTCGATGGGACTTGGGTTACTCCGGCCGTCAAGAAATTGGAGATAAAATCCTAAGATCAATTAATCATCAAAGATTCAACCCTTCCCTCTTCTTTTTTTTTCCCCGCCAAACAACTGCGTTTAATTTGTGCTGTTCTGTTGTAGTAACTGGTAGTAGTACTTGCTATTATTATTATTAATGTTCATTATCAGTCATAAAACTGGCTTGAAGGTTTGTATAGGAATTTGTACTATTTAATTTCTATCATCAAAAGGGGGGAAAGCTTTTCTTTTTTTTTTTTTTTCTGGGATTTCTGCAGAATTTAATTTTGTTGCTGAGGTTGCAGTGCTGAGCAGTTGAGGACTGATTTAGTAGGGTTGGTTGTTATTGATATCCGTGTGATTGTTCCTTTTGATCTTCCTTATAAAACGTCTTTTCAACCAAAGGACATGGAAATGTCTATTTATAGCAACGTTGTTAAGCGATTACTACATACAGTTCAACTACCAAATCAAATACTAGTATGGATTCCTCAATTTTGTTTGTTGTATCATTTTGCCGACAAAACTACAAACTATTGTATCTTCAACGTTGACGCATATATATAGTTACTGCACTAAAGATGATTTTGTGTGTGTATAGTAGAGGTACTTAAATTTATTAGTATACAATTTCCTTTGATATTCATTGTACGTAATTCGTAGATATATGGAAGCCTTTTCATTTTTAGGATTAAAACTTCTTTACATGTCGTGAATCACCTTACCATCTGAATTCCTACGTTGGGTGTAGATATCATGAAGGAGAAAGGTGCAAAAGATATACCAGGTGCATTCTGGCCTAAAGGCTAAAACCAACAATTAAAGCAGCTTCGTCGGAGCTTAGTCGAAGTCAACAACGCTAAATGTGATTATATGGAATGGAAGATACCAAATAATGACGGGGCAATCATGACGTCCAAGTCTAGCTAGGTCATTTACCTTGAGCTAATATCAGTGCTCTTTTTTTGATGAGAAAAGTGTAGTTGATTATTAATATAAATATTGAGTACACCTAGGAGCCGGGGAGAATGAGCTTATAATTATAAAATGGTTTTCCTAGTCTTAAACACTGCATAGGGTTTTCTTGGATGTCAATCAACAAAGATATGCTAAACTGATATTGTCCTTTTGGTGGACAATATGATAGCCTTTTTGGTTCTTGAGACTCACTCATCTTGGATGAGTTTGACAAGTTGACAGGTTTTGCAAAGGTTAGCTGGCTCGTGGATGAGCTCGGTGTTTCGCATCTTAAGAAGGTGGGTTCAATTAATTGTGTTGGTGTCCCCTGACAATTTGTTAGGCTTTAACAAGAGAGGAAAAAGGGGAGAAACATAACATCAACAACCTTATGTTACTACATCTCTCTTTACAATCCTCTACCTTCTTCTCTCTTAGATTATTCTCCTGTATATGGGAGTTTACCGCTCTTATTTTTGAAAGTTTTGCTCACTCTTTAACGAGTGTTTAGTTTCTCCCATCGGAGATCCATTGACGGGGCTTTTGCTTTGTTATTTTTTGTTTTCGTTTTGGGTAACTTTCCAACGAATCTGGTGAAGGAGGCATAGATCCGAGGTATACTAGAAAAGAAAGCAAGATATGAAGATGAATTTGAGGTAAAAAATTCAAAGCATGGAAGGAAAGCATTGCGTATTTGGAATGTCTAGGCCTGCCTGGCACTTATTGCTAGTTCATTTGTTAGTGGATTTTGGTGTTAGATCTTAATTGTACTGTAATTTTCTTTGTATTTTTGGTTTATTTTTCACCTCTGTAATTAGTGAAATTATGACGGTCTTGATGTACATGTATTGATTATTCATGTGGTTTGACAAGGACTATTAATTCAATGTTTAGTTGATTAACTAGACTATTTTGGTTGGTAGCTTAACCCTATAGTTGTAATTTCTCGTTTTAGTTTGTATATGAATGTCGCTTTTGAAAGGGAAAAAAAAAAAAAAGATCATTATGACAAAACCAATCAAATTCTTAAATAATGCCAAACTTAACAGGGATAGTTATGTCCATTTACATGGCAACTCTTTCACCATCAAAAGGTTATGATATTTTCTCTCCTCCAACATCTTCAATCTTCATCACATTTCCCTCCACCCAAAAAACTCCACACAGACATCACACAATTCAACAAAATGGCAGTGATAAACTGCTACTTTTCGATAACATCTGCAGCAGCAACGCCCATCCCACAAGATTCTCCGACGAATCCTCCCCCGTCTTCATCTTCATCGGCTCAACCAGCAAAATCCAGCCCAAGGCCGACCAAGATTTTGCTTCCTAATAAGAAGCCTCTGAAATGGACTACAGGAGTTGGCCCGGGCGAATATGGTGGCCCACCTACTACCACCAAGCTCAGGAAGTACTGGGGCGGCGAAGAAGAGGACCCTATCACTTCCGATGACTATATTTGGAATAAAGATTTCATGGGTCGCATGAAAAGGCTTATTGAGGAACCTAAAATTGTTGATGACCCTTTTGTTTCTCCTTCAAAGGTGTGAATTTGATTACTTTATGAATTGGGATTTTGCTAGTTTTAGCTTACTAGACCTTTCATGTTTATGTTTGGTTTCCTTACTAATGGGGGCTGAATTTGATACTTTCGCCGGCTGTTTGTGTTTTCTTGACTTACCGATATCGTCTTTCTTATGTGGCTGGAATGTGATAATTTCAATTGTTGAATGTCGAATTAAAGAACAATTTTTGACTTTGAGTAATGACTGTGTGAAAGTATTGCTATTTTGTAGTATGAGGCCTTGTCTAATACTTATCATCCCAAGGAAGATTTTGTAGATTGTTGAGTCGTTCATTTACTTGGGTGGCGGTTAATATTGAGTTGCAACTCATTCATGAAACAGGAGGAGGATTCTGGATTTCTTAGCTTAAATAGAGTCATGAGTCTTGACAGGTACTATCTTTTCTTTTTTGTGTTTATAGATAAAGTATTTGTTTATCACATTCACATTGACATTTTGAATTCTGGCATTCTAGCTTGGATGTTGACTTGAGCAAAGAGTTAACGGCCCCTACAAAAGCAATAGTGGTAGAAGAAGTAGCGGGGAAGAGTAAAGTATGACCAAAGTTTTCTCCTTTCTTGCTGAAACTTTTCTCCAAGGCTAGTTCTTCTGTTGCATTAACACTTCCTTCCTGTCTTGTGTTGTAAATGGTTATCAGACTAGTGGAATAGCAAGTCGAAAATGGAGACCAGCACCCACCCGTCGCGAGCTGGATAAGTGGGATAAAGCTGCCAAAGCTGCAACTGGAGGAAGTGTATGTCATCTTTACAAAATTTTGTCAAATTTATTCTTGAATCGTGGCTTGGTGTTCATTCAGCATATCATTTTCCTCTTTTCATTTTGATCACATCACTTTCAGTATTCTTCCCTGAAAAGGGTAAAACCAAAGAGACAGAACTCTTTCACATTTTAAGCTAAGTATTCTCTTTTTCCAGGATGTGATGCTCAGGGAAGTACGACGGCCCATAGGTGATCCAGAAGTATTGGCAGCTGAATCAAGAGAGCAATACTTTAAGGTATCTTGTGGCTTTTGTGGCTTCGTGTGATACCAGCTGTTTTTCTGAATCAGCTCTGAACAACCTTCATTTCCATTTTACAGTTAAAGGAGAGGTTGCAGTTGCTAACGCTTGGCATCGGTGGCATTGGCGTCATCTCAGCTTATATATCTTATACACCTGAAATTGCTGCTAGGCAAGTGTACCACTGTCTACATTTCTGACTTATAGTACTTCCTTTCTTTCTTAGGAGTTGATGGTTCTTTTTCTACATTTAGTTCTTTGTTCTACTATGGTATATAATTTCACTATTTCAGCTGTGTAGATTTCTCCTTTTGATACTTGAACAGATATAATCATTACTGAAACAGAATTATTTCATCGATCTAGATTTTTCTGTGCATTTCTGAATACTATATTAATGTCTTTTTTGCATGTGCTCTCAGCTATTTTGCAGGACTACTTGGTTCTTTGGCGTATATGAGGATGCTTGGAAACACTGTGGACTCTATGGCCGATGGAGCCAGCGGTGCTAAAGGGCTTGTCAAGTATGCAATTCTTCATTTGGTTTTGCAGCTATGATCTTGAGCTAATGATTACATATGTAAATGCTCCTGTGATCTATTTGTATTTGGGGCTACACAAAGTGTTGGTGTTCATTTACCAATCCTCCAGTTGAACTTAGAATGGTTAATAATTTGCAATGATAAGTAAAGCCTTTGACAGTTTTATCTGATGCCCCCTGCCACAAAAGAAGATACACACTTTTACATGGACAGATCAAATGTAAAGTTCTTAGTGTATTCCAAGCCCAATTATTTTCAGATGTCATGGCATGAATATCATTATTATTATTGTTATTATTATTATTATTATTATTATTATTATTATTATTATTATTATTTTATTTTTTTTTGGGGGTGTTGGTTGGGTGTTTTGAATTACCATAGGTATGATATAGAGAGAATAATTATTTGAATTTTTGTTTACCATTTATCCAGAACTCTACCAATTCTTAAGAGTCATGATCCTATGAGCTCTTACTTTGCTCATGCCTTTTTTTCATCATTGAAATCAATGTAGTAACAATGTGAAGATTCTCATTAACTTATGTAACACAGGTTATGTTCAAGTCTCAATCATCTTCTGTTCTTGCAGGGGGGCAGCAGGACAACCAAGGCTATTGGTTCCTGTCATCTTGGTCATGGTCTACAATAGATGGAATGAGTGAGTCTCTTTGCCGGGCATACTTTCATCAATTGCATAATCTATTATGTGAGACTACATTGGTGAATTGTGTTAAGCTACAGCAGCAAGAGTTAAATGCATAGCTGTAGAATTAAAAACATTGCCAACCCTTCACTTCCTACCAGAGCTTTCATTGAAACACTGATTTTAGGATTAATATCTCCAAACAAACAAAACACTGTTAGTTAGTTTTCTATTTGGTTTCATATGGATATTTCCAGATTTATTCTCCAAACTTGTCAAAAAGAATCTGAGTTTCTCAAGCCAGTCAAGTAACTTGTCAACTACATATTCCCATCCGTACATACGAGTGACTTACATACTCATGAATATATTAGCTTTCTGTTATCTGCTTTCTCTTACTGACCTAGACCTTACAAATTCAATTATGCTGAATTGCAGGATATTAGTTCCGGACTATGGATTTATGCACCTTGAATTGATACCTATGTTAGTGGGATTCTTCACATACAAGATAGCAACCCTCTTTCAAGCTATTGAGGATGCAGTAAATGTGACAAGGGAAGAGACACAAGCTTAGAATGAAGATAGAAGAGACACAAGCTTGATGCTGTACACTGGAAGGGCAACTAATATTTTACAAAATCTTCTTCACTTTCTTCAACTTTGAAGTTGCAATGGAGGCCTATGTTCTATTGTATAGAAAAAGGTAGAACGGCTTCGGATTCGTGGAATTCTTCTGTATTTTGTATTAATTTTTGTATAGTGTAAATTTTTGTTGTAATATAATAGTTTCTGTCATTATTTAATAGTGCAAGAGTATTTTTATCAAGTTGCAACTGTTCCTTCACAACTGCCATTCCAAAAACTTAGTCCTTAAATGCATCTTGACATATATTGTAATCAGTTACACTTAATATTTTTTAACAATTCTGTCAAAAAATTTGATTGTTCATAGATTTTTAATCGTTATTACCTTATTTAGTGTGAAAAATTTGATTTTTGCTATCATTATCATACTTAGGAAACGATGTTTCGAAGTGCTTTTGAAAACGATGGAGAAGTTCCTGAATTTATCCTTGCTAACGTCTTGTAGAGATCCAAGAATGGGCCTTGCATCTTCACAGCAGCTGCCTAACTTAGTCATTATTAAGCTTGCAGATGCACATGTATGCAAAGTTCATAGAAAAGATATCTTCGAGGATGAAATGATAAATCTATTCGCATAAGAGCCATATAAGGAAAAAGGTAGTTTAACGACGTAATTAACCCAAGTAAAATAAGGCATCATAAGTCGTTCCAAGACATTTCTTTCATACAACTTAACACGGGATTCACTTATAAAAAAAAAAGACTACAAGAAGTCCTGCTGCCACCACGTTGCTCTATTATCATAAGTCACCTTATTTAGTTTGACAAACATTAATTTGAAACAACCATAGCATACACTACGCTTAACCGGTGTTCTGCAGCCCAGCAGCAATTCCCTTCATGGTCAAAATGAGTGTATCTTCCAATCCTGGAGCGTATTCGCTGCTTGGATTGAGCTTAACCAACTCAGCTGCAGATTTGGTTGGTGGCGGGGCATCCATAATTTCTTTCGACAGATGTGGTCTAACATTGACATTGTAGCTTGGGTCACGGATACGCTTCAATGTGTAGGCTTGACAAACGTTCAATGTGGTAATGTATGGATCACGAAGTCTGAGTCTTTGCCTCAAGTAGGGATCTCCTTCAAGAAGTTCCTTGTGACCAGCAACCTAAATCAAGCAACGGATACATAGAGAAATTAAACACTAACCTAAAAAAGTGACATAAAAATACGAGGAAGCTTCCTGATACAATTTACTGTTCATCTACTTTACCTGGAGGATGAGGTTCTTAGTATCTTCATAATTAGCCCTCAAGTGGTCTCCGAATGGCAACAGTTCCTGAGAGACTAGCAGCTTATCATACAGAGCAGCAATGCCAGGGTCTCCCTTTGCAAGAACCATTTCAATCAAGTCAATCGTCACTCTGAAGAAAGGCCATTCTTTGTACATATCCTTCAGCATTTGGAGATTCCGGATATCTTTATTGATGGCATGCTTGAATGCTGCCCCAAAACCAAGCCAGACAGGAAGATGAAATCTTGTTTGTGTCCAGGCAAAGATCCATGGAATAGCGCGAAGGGATTCAATTCCACCACTAGGCTTCCTCTTTGATGGACGACTCCCAATGTTCATACGACCATATTCTAACTCTGGCGTTGCCTGCAATAGAGTAAATTCAATCATATAAAACTACAACAAAGAAACAGAACCAGTACATCCCTCAAAACACAAGAAGTTCCAGGGGACTAATCGATTAAAGCAGAATATGTTCTATGTAACTTCCACTGTACAGTTTCAAGGATATTTTATTTATCTTCAAATTTAGGATTTTTTCGAATGGGAATGAGATAGTATCCGAAAAAAGAGTAGAGAACAGCGTGAAGAGTTGAGGAATGATACTTACAAGGCGGAAGTACTCAACAAATCTGGGCTCCTGGAAAACTACAGAACGATACTCTTTTGTGGCAACAGCAGCCATCTCATCCATTAGTGCACGCCATTCTGGCTTTGGTGGGATTGGTGGGTGCATTCCATGCTCCAAGGTAGCTGCTGTAAAACGCTGGAGAGTTCGGAAACATAAATGCTCTTCCCCAAAAGACTGTTCAATGACTTCTCCTTGAACAGTCACCCGAAGTGATCCATGAATGGTATCTGGTGGCTGAGATAATATAGCAAGATGAGTGGGACCACCTCCTCTTCCAACTGTCCCTCCACGACCATGGAACATAGTAAGTTTCACACCATATTCCTTTGCCACCTTTACAAGCTCCTCTTGAGCTTTGTACATCTGCCAAGCAGCAGAAAGACGGCCGGCATCTTTTCCGGAATCTGAATACCCAATCATGACTTCCTGTTTCCCATTAATCCTGTTACGATACCAATCTATTGAAAAGAGCCGAGCAACCGCAGCCGGTGCATTCTCGAGGTCAGCAAGTTTTTCAAATAATGGAACAACCCTCAACGGGTTTTTGACATGGCATTCACGTTGCAAAAGTTCAACGGCAAGCACATCTGACGGAGCAGTGGCCATCGAAATGATGTAAGCTCCAAAACTGTCAGATGGTAGCTCAGCAATGACCTGAAAGGTATCCATCACATCAGCAATTTCCTCAGTTTTGGGAAGATCTGGACCAAATAGAGGACGTTTCCCACTAAGCTCAGACAAAAGCCACTCCTGTCTCCGTTCCTCAGACCACTCGCGGTAGGATCCAATTTCGAGGTGCCTTGTGATAGCATCTAGAACATCAGTGTGCCTATCTGACTCTTGCCGGATATCGAGTCTAACTAAGGAAAGCCCAAATGTTGAGACTTGTCTAAGAAAATCAAGCAGGCTTCCATCAGCGATTGGACGATCACCACAGGCACACAGTGATCTGTAACATAGCTCCAGAGGCTCCAAAAACTAAGGATGAAAACACATCATCAGAATCATATGATACGCGCCGAAGAAATAGACATATTATTATACTATGAGGACTACAAAAACAATCCTTCAACTACTACCCAAACAAGTAAAACAAGAAGAACAAGGCCATTAAGTTATCTTCTGTATTAAACAACAAACGTCTGATACCTTGTGAAGTAAATGACTACTTTTATAGCTAACATGAGATTAATCAAATTTCATACGCTACCATTTCAATAAACTTTTTCAAAGGCCTATTTAAATCTTCTGGACAACATTCGTTACAATCCAAAAAAGATCAATGATCTATTCCATTACCAGCACTGATCAGAACTTTTAAATCAACACGGAGTCTTGAAAGAATCATCTTTTGTCACACTAGTATACTAATTATGTCAATTTGGCTAGAGGAGATCATCCAATTATGATTTAAGCTTTGTTTTTCATTTTTCATATGAAAATAGCTTCCTCCCACTTTCCAATTAATACCATTCCCACAAAGGAAGCAAAAAGTGAGCCAACAGGATAAATCAAGCAAATCTGGATCTTGAAGCGAAAGCAGAGCAATATGAAGAAAATCGTAGGTGTATAGACCTGTTCAAGATTTGTGAATGTTGCCTCTTCAGGGATGTCAGAAATTCCGCTAGATAATAGTTGTCGAGCACGTTCACGAGTATTATACAGTTTGTCTCTCACATCACCAAGAATAACACGATAAGGCTCATTTGGTGGAATTTGCTTCCAAAACTCTGTATTAACAGATCAGTGCGAAAAAACATCAGAACTCCAATTAAAGAGAGAACGATATCAAAAGTCAGTGAGTTCAAATACCCACATGATCTTATCCCCATGAATAGCTTTTTGAGTTATTTCAAACAATATAGTAAATGCAGTGGACCAATAAAGTAGAAATATATTACTCTAACAAATATTTGTGGATTTTGACACATATTCTAAGCTTACTACAACCGTAAATGCAAATTGTACACACACTCAGACCTAGATGAAATTTATTGTATATACAAAAGCAATGTGGATGCAATAGCTGCTAGATGCTGTGTTGGGGTGGGGAGGAGGTTGAAAATTTCAATTTTAAGGAAAGAGAGAACCAAGTGAGAGCATACCGATGAAGTGTTTCGCATCTCTTTTTGAGGACCTATGAAGTTCATGAGCACGAGCACTTAGTTCTTCACTGCAGCGCCACATAGAGAGCTGCATAAAGAGTTTGTGGAAACAGAATTAAAAATACAGATTGGCGTAGCCAAAATCTAATGAACCTGAAAAATAAACTTCCTCCGGGTCCTCACCTCAAACATTAGATCCTCTATCTGAGAAAAATAGAGGTTAGCAGCCATCATTCTGGCCAATAAGCACACGTCTCTTGTAACTTCAGGAGTCACCCTCGGATTACCTGAAAAGATTATCAAGAAAATAAAGTAGCTGCATATACGAACCTAAAAGGCAGGGTTGCAAAAAATCATACAATGATTTTATATTGACAACAATAAGAGCCATCTAAAATTAACCAGCTCCAGCTGTGGAACAATGAAAGCTGCCACTCATCTATCTAGCAATATGCTTTTTCATATTTCCAAACTGAACAGCTTTCACAAGCAAGACAATTAAAACATCATAATATCTGTCTCATCTTTATGGTCTTCAAGAATAGAGAATGAAATCTTGAAGGAATACATGCTACACTTAAATTTACCCAAAAAAGCCTGACCCCAGAACCCTAGGTTTACAGGTCACATCTAATTTTAAATCATAGGTATAGGTTTGATCTAGTGGATTTACAAAATGCACAAAAGGGAAAACAATTTTTAGAGAGAATTAGGTACCATCACGATCTCCACCCATCCAAGAAGAAAACTGGATAACAGGAGCATTGTAAGGAACTCGCTCATTTATTCCAATATTCTTCAAGGCAGTGTCAACACGACGCAAGAATTTAGGCACCCCCTTCCATATTGTCTCATGAAAATAACTCATTCCTGCCCTCATCTCATCCTGCGGAGTTGGAGGGTTTCTCCTGATTTCATCTGTGCGGAATGCAGCTTGTATCTACATGAAACAAGTTTTAGGTTAGCATCCAATGTGAACAAAAGCGGGAAAAGTGATAATATACATATAAATGTATGATCTGGATCATCCTCCTTGAATTATCTACGGCACATAAAACAGGCCATCATACGGTTTTGAAAGTGGAGACCAAGATAGCATATACTGCCTAATTTACTGTTCAAACAAGAAAATTATATAACTACAACAAGATAGAGAATGTAAGGCAAAAAGCCATTCTGACCTATTTCAGTGTTGCAGAGGATAAAATCTTTAAATATAGTATGTCCTACATTACTAAGAAACTCACATCAATAGTTTCCAGTTGAAGCTGTACAAAAACAAAAAACAAACTGAATACTGTCACATCATCAAATGAACTAAAAGGACAATCATGGAAAGCTGGATTACAATCCACATTACAAACCCAAAATGTTGCGTCTTCATTACCAAACCTACCACAGTATAGCGAATCCATTTTCCAAAACAAAAAAGACATTGTAACAAGCAATCAAAAACATTTTCCCTAGCCAACAAAATTACAGAGTTAATAGCAAATCCATAGCTTTAATCAATCTCAAACCTAGCACAATTTTGCCAACGTTCTGCATCTTACTTCAATTACTTAAAATTCAGACATCCTTTTCCTTTTTAATATCGCGTACCAAAAATTAAACGCCCTCAAGGTTACAAAACCTCCCCTCCCAAACGCTCCCCCAACAGAAAATGGCATAGAAGCATACATGAAAGGCACATGGCAAGTTCCACGCCACTTAAAATGCATACCTCTCTTTGTAGAGCCTCGTCAAGTTCCTGCTTTTCATCAGGAGTAATGTCTTTGGCATATAACTGAGTCAAACAATTACGAATCCTGGACCAAATAGAAACATGGAAGACCCGTAAGTGTTCTGCTACCATACACAGAAAGTTTGCAAAATATACATCTAACAGGAGGTCGTAAAGAAAAAGATGACCGCGCATTAACAACTCCACCTCTTCCCATCCACCATTTTAGTCTTACAGTGAAACTTATTCGACACATTTTCCGGAACTAAGCAAAATAGCACATCCATTTAACAAACCTTCCATGTTTCTGGAGCAGAGATCTACGAACAGACTGAGTTGGATGTGCAGTAAGAACAAGATCCACAGTTTGGTTCTTTAAAGCATCAAAAACTTCTTCCGGGGACTTGTTTAATTGAGTTACAAGCCTCTTGAAGGTCTCCTCAATATCTGACTCAGTAGTTGCAGAGGCTTCATCAGAAAAGTCACGCTTCTTCAACTTTATTCTACGGCGATAAGCAATCTGAACTTCCTCAGCAAGGTTAGCTAAGTTAAGCATGTTAGAAAAAGCTTTCGTGACCACAATGGAATCACCAGCATCTAGACTAGTGAGCATCTTCCCAAGCTCTTCCAATTTCTGAGGGTCACGCTTCCCTTCGTACTCTGCGGAGAGCTCATAGCAGTCTTGAACCTGTTCAACATGTAAAATTCATGCTTACATTATTATCTTAAGAAACTCATGAGAACAAACTGACATCACTGTATTTGACAAAATAAGAGAAACTACAAGCACAATGGCATGCATAAGAGAGTGGAATTAGAGTTGAAATTCAATTTCAATAGGATATTATACATATTTCTTTAGCTAAAGGATCATGAATTTGTGAGAATGACTGTCAATGACATGAAATAAAAATCAATGTCAACAAAAATGCGTAAGTCAATGCAAGTGTTGTAAACCTTCTGGCAAAACAAATTGGGTAGATTACTCAAAAAGGAACCAAAAGGTTGTCTAAACTTCGCCCACAACATTAAGTTGAGTGGCATATTTGATGTCATCAGGTAAACTGTAAAGGAAAAACAGAGAATACCCTGCACCAGCTAGATATGTCCATGATAAGATACAAGATATCACTCATCAAGCCATTTTTTAACCGCAAAACAATGAAATTCATGATAAATTATGAAGAAATCTTATGCATCAAACATCAAACACCAAGTCTCAATTTTGTCATAAGATTTACTAAATTAACACTGAAGTAAAGAACCAAATACACATTCCAAAATTCTACTTAAGTTCCACTCATTAGCCACATACACCACTCTAAAAAAAAAAGGCGTTCATGAAGATAGTGGAGTATCCACTAACCAAACACAATCAGCATTTTCACTTGAGGGAAAATCGTTAATTCAAGATGCTGAGAAATCCTGATACAAGTCAAAACAAGCATAGCAATCCACAACTAAATTTTAATTCCATAGCACGTCGCTTCTTTGATGAATATGAAAGAGTCACGAAAGAATTAAGTAGAGATCAAACTTGATACCGTTTCACGAATATCCTCTCCATGCAAGTACTGAAGAATGTCGAGAAAGCGATCCAGCAAAAGGGCATCATACTCCACCAACTTGTCATCTTCTGAGACCTTCCCTGGTGCCAGTAACCTCAGCTGTGCATCAATTGATGCCATCTTCTCAAGGTTCCTACTCGCCATTCCCTCAGAAACCCCTTTTTACTAACACTAAAGACACAATTTTTTTTTCCCTTTCCCTTTCCCTCCAAACCAACCAAAGCAAAAAGTAACACGAGAATTCGACTGATTTCACCACCCAAAATCACGGGGACTGAATTGGGTTCCGATTACTTTATCTACTACAACACAAAAACAATAGAAAACAAGCCTAATCTCGTGAACCCGGAAACCAAAAGGCGGAAACTAGATGATCCCAGAAGAAAATTACGGAGAGATCAGGCGACTAACAAAGTACAGATCACGAGAGGAAAACAAAAAGCTCATATGGCTCTACAGAGCATTATGATTTGTCTGTATTTATAGACAGTTTGATGAGTGGACTGTATATGATGGAGAGTGAAAAAAATTTTCTCTTGTTTCTTGAAAGTTCAGTGGGAGAGAGAGAGAGAGAGAGAGAGAGAGAGAGAAGAAAGAATGGATCTTTTTGATTTTTCCACTGTATATGCTTTAATGAATCAGATCAGCAGAAGAAGCAGAAGGAGTTTTTACTAGAATCTATGATTGGATTTTTTTTAATGTTTATTTTAATGTGTGATGAATAAGAAGGTGTGACTTGTGAGGTTGTAAGATTCCAGTAGGAGACTCAGAATATGCTCCCCTCCCATGGAGAGGTTCTATACAAATTTGATGATGATAATTCCAAATTTGACTTTCTAATGTGGACTTTTTTGGATGAAAATTTTGATGGGTTCACTGAATTACGTCAAATTCGAAAACAGTATGAGATACATGGGAAATTTTTAATTTTAAAATTGAATTTTTTTTTTTTAATGTTTCTATCATGTTTTGAATGGATTATTTCTTTGATAATTCCACCACCAAATTTCTATCACAATTTGTATTGCAAATGAAATTCTCCCGGTTAAGAAATAATTTTCAATTTCTTTTTTGATTTTCCTACTCCAATAAGAATAGAACAACATTAGCTTTTTTTTTAATTTATTTATAAACAATATAAGATCGATTCTCTATACCCATTTTACTAAATAAATACATCTAATTTCGTGCTCTCTCTATTTTCTTTTTTTTTTTTTTTGTGGCAAGCTCACATTCATTTAAGCCATACACTTAGTGCCATTTATTTATTAGCTAGACTTTCTGAAGAATCTACCAAGAAAAAATTTATAGCCAACTAATAATATCATATTATTAATAAAAAAAATAACTCCAGAATTGGTTATAAATGTAAAATTATAATTATAGCATCCACATTGGTGGTTAATAATTAGTAAATAACCACTATATTATACTATTTATCATTGTGTTGAGTGTAATAATATTACACATTGTAAGAATTCTTACACTGTATAATAGATGTTAAATTATAATTAATGTGAATTTATGATAATACTAAAACTATTTTTATTTTATTATACTTTTACAGTGTAAACTAATATAATGAAAAGTTGAATAAAAGTATAATATTGAAAATTTATGATATTATACCCATAATAGTATAAACCACTATGGATGCTTATGATCTCTCTTTCAACTTTATTGTAATTTGAAGAATTGATTGCCACTATCATCCTTTCCAAACATGGCAAAAAAAAAAAAATATACAATGTATCTATAAACCAAAAAAGATAAAAATAAAAATAAAAATAAAATGTATCTGGAAACCAAAAAAATAAAAAAATAAATACAACGTGTCTGTGAACCAACAAAAATAAAAATAAAATACAACGTATCATAATTTAGTTAAGAAGCCATAAACATCCCACTTAAAAAGCAAAAAAAATATAAAAAATAGTATAGAAGTTAAAAAAAAAAAAAAATCTAGCAAGTTGGTCGATGAAAATTGAAAAGATGGAGTATCCATTAAAAAAAAAAAGGCACAGTCGGGTTTAAAAATTTTTTTTGATGTGCGTTGAAAATTTTTGTTCTTAAATAAGGAGTTGAAAGCTGAGTTTGGAATGATTAGGGAGATTAATTGAATTTTCGTTTATCGAATAACATTGTTTATGGATTTTTTTTTTTAAGAAAAAGGAGGATAAATTTCAGATATCGACGACCGACGAGAAGGGAAAAATAAAAAGGATCATACAATATAAAGTTTATTACCAAGTTGGGGAAAGCGACAAAAATACAACATCTAATATAAGTTTGAGTGGACCTCATTAATCTGCGGATGTTGCCAATTAATTGCCACCTAGTTATCCATTTAAAATATACTGTATTTATTATAGTCCTAATATCTTACTATATAAGCAACAAAAATCACACTTTAAAGAGCTCTTCTTTAATTGACACGTGCCATTTCCACCTCATTAATTAGTATTAATTGGTATTAAGAAATTAACAGATTTCCATAATGCCTTCCAGAATGCACACCACGTGCTCTTCTGTTTTCTTCCCTCTTTCAAATTCTCACTCCTCCATTACAGTACAGAAGAGTAAATTATATTACTTAATTCAATAAGTAATGACCAAATGTATCGTACATTAGATATCCATAATTCAATAAGAAAGAATAATGATTTATGCATAGAAAATTTACAGGAATGAATCATGACTGACCTGTCCATGCTTAAAACCTTACCTTTAAGTTTTTGCATTTAAAAGTTAAAGTGTAATCTATTTTTAGGCACATCATACCCGATTAAAATCATTTGTAAATTTTTCATGAATATATATATATATATATATATATATATATATCATCACTCATAGTACTTACCATTTATCGAACTATTATTGAGGGTAAATATAAAAACAATACTATTAGCTAAGAAGGTGTTGAGGTAAACACATTACGTCAGATACACATGAATGTCCAATCCCGAGCTAGTACGTATACGTACTATACTTCTTTTTTGTTATTTGTTTCCTGTCGGCTGTCCTTATTCAAAGTTTTTTGTCCTCCCTCTTTTCCATAATTATTGTCCAGTTTGTGTTTTCATTTTTAGTACTAATTGAACTACAAATGAAAATTCAAAATGGACAATAATTTTGAGACAGAGCGAATACTATATTTAGGGACACAATATTGTTTCTTGTTATTTGTTATTTTTACTTGTTTAGGGACACAATATTACTATGTAAGTTAATTCATGGCATGGCAACGAAGAAATTTATTTCACGGTATAATTTTATGATGATTCGAAAAAAAAAGAAGAAAGAAATGCAGCTATTAATTAAGACTCTTTCATAGTTAAAAACTTGTTTTATGGACCACGTTTCTGTTTTTATTCATGCGTTAAAATATGATTTAAACACTGTTTTGAGTGGAAGTTTGAAATGTTTTATTGATATTTTTTCAATTAAAAATTATAGTCGCTTACTTTGGAGATGGATTCGGTTTAAATCCATTGGCCCTTGATCTAAAATAATTTACTCCTTCGTGTGTGCTTATTATAATGCATTTTGATTTCTTTTGATATTTATTTATCAAATTTTTTGAATTAAAAATAAAAAATTAAAACATTTTCTAATAGTTGAGAGCCAATTTTTCTGGTAGCAAATAAACCTGCTTTCTCCGACGTCCGACCACACTTCACTTTAAAGTATCGAAAGAGGTTTGGGCAGCAAAATGGAAAAGAGAAAGAGGATATGGTTGAGCCATTGGTTCATATCGACGACTTTAAAGCTTATAAAACTATAATTTCATCTGTCCTTCAATAAATTCAATATATGGTACACTCAGTACGTATGCCAACGTACGCTTACACAACAAATAAAATAAACAAAATCACAAATATGCATCTCTCTTCAAATTGTAACCCCCATACCATTAATTTCGATACATCTGTTTTATGAAATAGGAAAAATAAGTATAAAAGAAAGAAAAAAAAAAGAAAGAAAAGGGAATAAAGACACCAAACTTTTTTTAAAAAAAAGAAATATATCAGTCACTTTTGATTAATTTTTCTTTTGATAATGTTATTATTTTTGGAAAGCATCTCCACTCATTTGCTTGTACGGCACAAAAGTTAACGTTTGAAAGCGAACCAAATCTATCTTTGAAAGTTTGTAGTGGATTAATATTCTCTTCATAGCGTTTCATCTTTTAAGATACTACATTTTACTTGGGATTTTTTGATAAGAGGACGTAAGTTTCAAAATAGTAATAATATGTAGAAAAGACTAAAGAATGAATTATAATCGTATCAAATATGAATAGAATATAAATGTATGGCGTATTAGTACTTCCGCACTAAAAGATTACTAGACCAGAAATAGCACACGAATGGTTACATTATAACACTACGAACTAACTCAATAATTATTTAATCTTCAATTTTTCGGAGACAAAATATTTAACCTAAATTACAAGTCCATTACAAGTCAGAAACTTATACACATTGTTTCATTTCCTACAACGTACGTATATATTGGTTGACGTTTTTGTGTGTATCTGTGTGTTGTTTTATTGACAAGATTTTGTACGTAAAAAGATGTTTGTACGTATTCCAATGTGTACGTTAAAAGCTTTAAGAAAATCCCGTGGAGAATTTTGTGGGGATGATATGATGAGTATGTGATTATCAGACAAAATCGACAAAATTGAGAATGTGAATAGAATTTGAAGCCATGGAAGACTGACCGTCATGTTGTCCTAACGAACTTATGAAAAGTCAAATTCCATTTCTTCAATCTCCCTTTTTTATTTCATTTATGCAGCTTCCCATTTTCTGAAGAGGCGCAGATTAAAACATATGGACGTTATTCACACAAATTCAAATCGCAAAACGACAAAGAAAACATTTTGCTGCTTCCCTACAACTCAAGTCATACTTGTGAATGGGAAGTTCAAGTTCAAATCCAACCTGACCAAGTGATCCTTTTTTTTTATTATTTTTTTTTAATACAATTCTTACAAACACCTAGACTATTATATGTGTGAGTTTCAGGGAGGGGGACCTACTACTAGCCTAGTCTAGTGGAGGACGACTCCACGCCTGCAACGCCTCTATCCGCGCGTCTATCGTGTGCAAGAGCTTCCAACTGCAACTTACAAAATGATCTTTATGTCAAAAAGAGTTTAGTTTTCTAATACTAATCGGTAACGAGAGAAATAATTTAAAAATTATTGTATACGTTAAATTTAACACTTGAAACTGAGAAAAGTATAACAAATATGTTTTAAATACGAAAAGACTTGTTCATTTGATTCCGAACTAGGAGACTCAATTCTACACAGTTTTGTTTCATGCGTGTGGATCGCATGGTTTCGATCGTCACAATTCTCATTTTAATAAGGGGTATAGATTGGAGTATAGCACAAAAGGCAGTCGATCACTGTTCCAAAAGAATATGACGAAAGGATGCCTCTATATTTGATAATTAAAGAAGAGAAAATGTACTTCAACTGTCTCCATAATATACTCCCTCTGTCCCATAATTATTGTCCAATTTGAGTTTTTATTTCTTGTACTAAAAGTGAAATCTCAAACTGGACAATAATTTTAGGACAAAGAGAATATTTTACATCGAGTACAAATATAAAACTTAACGTGCATTATTATTTTAAGACGAGGAAATATCATCCAAAGAAATGAAAAGCACCAATTGGACCATTGACATAGAAATGAGTTAGATAGAGATGGAGACGGTATCCAATTTTTTCTTTGCCCAACTTGGGGTCCGGAGTATATGAACATGAAAGAAACAAGTATGTGTCCGAATTTTCTTTGCCCAGCTTGCGAGTAAGACTGACTTGAAATGAAATTGATAGTCTTTTTAACCCAAAAAATAATTCATTTATTGAATTATTGTAAATTCTTTTTGGGATGAATAGAATGTTTCGAGTGAATAGTGTCGAGAACAAGTTTTGAAAGGAATAACTTGGAGGTAATAACCCTTTTCTCCAAGATTGTGGTAAGAGTTGAAATTGTGATATGGGAATCTTCTTTTTCTTTTTTTTTTTTTCGTTTTTTTAATGACTATATAAAGATAAGATTCTTGTCGACGAATCATACTACACAATTGAAGCCAGATTAAATAACTCACATTATAAAAATGTACAAAAATCGGATCGAGGGAAATCAAGATCGAGAACTATTCCAGTATATGTTAGTGGTTTATGCTATTTTTGTTGAAGAAGTAAAACAAGTAGAAATTCTTTATGAAGAATATGCCAAATACTGACTCTGATAATGCCACTTAGTGGAGTTTTCATTTGGATTAATTAGTAAATGGAATCAAAAGTTCATGCATACGAAATGTTTATGTCATTGTCCTTGAAAAGAAGTCATTAGTATAATTAATTAATTAATTAAAATGGTTATGCTGGCAGTATTTGACTTGAAATTCTGGTGAACTGAGTTGATCTGTAACTTGAAGACAACAACTTATCAATAATATATAAATAAATAAATATCAACCGCAGAAGTTATGACTCCACGTCAATTAATTAATTAGTTTGTGGCTAATGAAAGAAAGACTTCTACGAGCAGCCGCGCATGGAGGATCATGTAATGTTTACTGCATTAATTAGAGCTGAAAACTAATTTGACCAAACAAGAGAACAATGAAAGTTGAAATGAAATTGTACATATGAAAACTCCAGGAGATTGAGAAAAAGAAAATAAGTTTTTAAGTTTTTTAATATGCGAAGATTATCTATTTAATATTGTTGGAATAGATTCGGTGTGAGTAGATACTAATATGTACATATCTCTTTTACCTTATTAAAGCAGAAAACATGATAATGATGTGGCAATTTCTTATTAAAAGGTTTTGGCTCCTAATGCACCATATTGCATAAACCACTCTGCCACGTGTCACCTTCTTTTAAAAACAAAAAATATATTTACAATATTAACAAATAAATCAGATGTCCATGTTCATTCAAATTTTGAATTTGACAGTGAATGGAACTTTCCTTCTCCACTTATTTAGAATTTTTGAAAAAATTAATTTTCGATCAATCAATTATCTTCATCAAAAACTAAATTCATTCCTAATCAGTTTTGATTATTTACATATTAATTTATTAGGTGGGAGGACGCCCCCGAACATTTATTCATTTCCAATTAGTTTTAATTATTTACATATTAATTTATTAAGTGAGAGGACGCCCCCAGACAAATGCCCGGGACAAGCATCTAGTTTATACTTACAAACGAAGGACGATAAAATACTATATTATAATAAGTCACCTTCGATGGTGACGAGTATCAGAGGATTGGTGGAGATGATTAGTGGCATAAATTGAATAATAATTGTTATTATTACGAGATTAAGAGTTTAAATTTTGTTAAAATGGCTTAAATTTCTGTCCGAGATAATCTAGTTTTTCTTAAGAAGAGTGATATATTCTTTAGAAAAATTCTTACAGATGCGTGAATATTAGCTCATTTATATAATTTTATATTTTTATCTAGGGCAATCGACGTTTAAATAAACATCGTAGGAAATGGGTTCTTAGAATTTTCATTAATATAGATAGTATCAATAATTTATTAGATAGTTATTAGTAGACAAAATGTTCTTGAAATGCATAATTTAGCATATAGTAAAATGCGATGTAATAGTTCAATTATCTTCAATAAATATACAAGTAATATTTTAAAAAACAAAAAGAAAAAATAAAATTCACCCTTTGCTGAAAAGGTTTTTATCTTTTTCGGCCCGACCATCCTTGAATTGAAAAGCCGTGCTTTTTGTTCATTTTGGATTGTCAACTTGTCATTGACCAGTCTAGTTTTGGGATGTAGTAAACGATTGTCAAAACTTTGGATCAGATAGGGCTTGGGCCTCCGGCCCATCAAGATATGAAAAACAAATCAAATGATCTGCTTAAACCATTTACATGAAGATTTGGGCTCTCGAGACGGTGGACGCCATGCTATATGGAATGCTATAATGGGGTTAATTTGCTTCCTGCCTTCCTCCACACGGTCAACCATCTGGTTGATCCTCCGATTAGTTTAAGAGCTTGTAATTTGACATTATCGAAGTTTTTATTCCCCACGTAATGTAATTATTTGATGATTGATCGTGAGCGACAAAAAGCCTGTTTATCAGGCATTTCCCGGAAATTAATTGTGTACGTGAAGTATGAAGGAAAAGATCGATCAGGCGGCAAACGCCTTGACGAATCTGAATATGCCGGGGAGTTTAACGGTGGTTTGGCGGATCATAGGCTGGATTCTCGCATGTTACGGAGGAGCAACGGCTGCTTTCGTGGTGTCACATTAAAAAGAAGGCTCTTTAAAGATAGTAATTAGTACGACTTCTATTCGTATAATTATCAACATTTTACTAGTTCATAATTTTATTTATTTATTTTTTTTTTTGTCTTTGTGTTTGTATTCCTCGTACGTGGTTCAATTGATAGCACTGCAGAATTTAAAGGAGAAAAATTAGGTTATGATATAGACTATTTTTTTTTTTTTTTTTTGGAACAAAGAAATACTGTACCATGTTTTTTTTTTTATATATTTTATTTTTTCCCCTTTCTTCCTTTAGGATTCAAGGTCAAACTGTGGAACTGAGGCTAATTAGAGTAGCACATCCCGGTAGCTAAGACAGGTCTTCCGAGGAGGGTTTAATTAATGGAATCTCCACTGTTTCATGTACTTTTCGCCATTGATGGTTAAAGTATGGTTGGAGTGAATAAGCGTAGCACACTGTGTAGTGTACGTAGTGTCTAAGTCTTAGTTTAGATTTTCAAGCTATACTTGTTTATAACAATGATTAATTATTATATGACATCCTCCAAGGTCATATATATAAACTATTATATGACATCCTCCATTCTCCCATAATATAGTTCGGCCTTGAAACAAACCACAAAACTATACTTCTTTCGTTTTTTTTTAATCAAGCACTTCAAATGATTGTAGCTAGCATAATATTTCTTTATTTTTCCATGATTTATAACAATGATTAATCTTCTTTGTTGAATTGTAGACATGGGATGCAGAAGAGTTTCCACCACTTTACTATAAAACCTTTAGTAGTTAAAAAATGATGATTTGCATTTTGCCATATTATATTAATTTTTTTTTTTATTTAAATTCAAGTCTCTTCTGGGCGCCATAGTACATTAACCTTGGAGGCCGTAGAGTTTAATAAGAATCTCACAAGGAAATTTTATTTTTATTTTTTTCCGGTTTAAATGACTATAGTAGCTTCAGTTCAGAATTCAGATCAGAAACTTTGAAGTGGAAAAAAGAGAGATTTTTTACTAACATTTGTTACATTTTTTTTACTAACATTTGTTACATTAAATGTCTAATTGAAGTTTTCTTTTAAAAACAAATTGTCAAGAAAGGAATTTAAATACCTCCAGTCCTTATTATAAGATATGAGTAATGATATTCCACTCTACTAATTTAACTCTACTTACATGGCAATCTAGTTGCCACATCCACATCATCACATAAGTTTATAACTTATGATAGTTAATTGAAATTTTATCATCGGAAATTATTATGCTTTTCTTTTCGTTTTATTATTCTTCTTCCAAAAACACATATGTAGCCTTGTCCAGAATTTTTGTCTTATCAATACTAGATTTCATCGTTGCCACTTCATATATAGTCACCGGTTTAAGGCGCCACACCAATTTGTGAGGGTCCGAGAAATAAAGAAGCCGCGCTAATTTTAAGCTTTCAAGATACTTCCGGCCGTTTCTGACTTTTCACAATAGATGCTTCATAAGGAATTGATTCTTCAAAAAAAAAAAAGAAAAAGCCTGCAGATGCTATGATTGCTTTGTCAAAGTAATCGATGATCTCCATTTCTTCTATGAACAAGTCCTATCAAAATTTGCTAAATCAAATCTTTTAATAACATGTAGTATGTGTCACCCCTAAATCAAATATTTCAATCAGTCCTATAGGCTATAGTACCGACTATCAAATGAATATAACAATTAACTCAATTCCTCCACTGTGACAAAACGATTAACATGCTCATTATTCTAAAAATAACATAAAAACAATTATTTTAAGACAAAAAGAATAATTAATTAGATAATGACAATGCTTCTCTACTAATATTGGATTGGGAAAGTACTTGGGAAGAAAGGGGCATTATAAGGCAAATAATACAAGGAACTATGGCAATACTTATAAACATGAAATTCCTTACATATACAACTAATTTAGAAACCTCATTACAAGATTTTGAATATTTCTCAAAAAGCCAAAAAGCACAAAGAGAAAAGAGGAAAATAAAAATAGGGGCCTTGGTCAGCAGAGCAAAAGCAATACTGAATCAGTTATTGGAAATCATCAGGCCAGAAGAGACGAAAATTAAACTAATTACGCATCGCATATTACTTAAAATGAAGATAATGAATATTAAATGTCGACTAAAAAAGAGCTCAATACGTAGTTGTGCTCTTAATTTGGACTAGTCCATCCCAGCACTCTCATCAAAGCCAAGATGGCGATCCCAGCTGCCTACAATAAATGAAACCAACTATAGCTTAATTAGTAACAAATTAGTACCCTCAGTTACAAAGTGAACTAATTTTTTTAATGACGGAAGAGGACAATTAATTTTAATTGATTTCTAAGATCAATATTGTGCAATGACTTAACAAGAGGTAAGGTCTGACATATTTGATGGTTAGGAGCACTCTTGCCAATAGTATGTTCTTGGGAGAAAAATAGTTGACTATTTTGAACTGTTCTGATGTAATAAAGTAAATTATTTTTCTAAAACGGATGAAATGTGAACTTGTTTAATTATATATAGTTATTCCAGTGGGTGGAAGTGTTGCTGTTGGAAAATTAACAAGAAATTAAGATACGTATTTGGTGGTTAACAAAATCTTCCAAACATGTCTACTCCTAGAAATTTATACAAAATCACGGCTAATTACGAAAGAAATTGGTGAAACTGGCCAGCTAATCCAGCAGTTGAGAACTCAATTTACCTGGGAATTCAACTAAAAAATTGGAAAAAAAATAAAAATAAAAATCCCAAGTTGATGAAAGTACTTAGTCTCAAATGGAGAACGTAGCAGTACATAGTCTGGATTAAAGATATCCAGAAATCTGCTAAATCTAATATTATAATAGTGTCTATGATCAAATAGCCATATAAAATTAGTACTGAAAAGGTCTGACTCTGATTCCCTAAGAAAAATGTAAATATAATTGACAAAAATCTCTTCTAATTCTCGCCTAAAGTACTCTTCTCAATTTTCATTGGATGCCCTCAAGATTACAAAACTGATTTGTACCATCTTTATATTTTCAGACCTCTAGCAATATATGCTTCTTTTTTTTTTTGCATTTATTATTCTATTTTATACTCGCACTCCGTCCAAATGAAAGCTATATTTGTGGTACTGTGTATTATTTTTGGGACGATGGGAGTAAGAGAGATTTAAGATGGATGTTGGTAATTTTTTTTAATTCCTTTGGATTTCTACAAAAGGGCAACTGATGAAATTGGTAGTCAAGTCTTTTGAGTAAAGAAAACCCGCAACCGTCATCAGATTTCCCTTGATGCCTGTCACAGTATCTCAAGAGTTATTCAAAAAGAATTATGATTCAAAAAAAAATAATAATAAAGAAACAAAGGTTTTGAGGACAATGCCAGGACTCCGCAAATGAAAGTTAAGTGCTCTAAATCTTTTTTGAAATTAGCATTTTGAGTGATTGAGGAAAGGAATTTGAGGGCTTTGAAGAATGTTGAGTTAGGTTCTTTAATATTGTAGCCAATAAATTTTTTTTTTTTGCTTTGATTTTGAGGCGAAAATATACTCTGAAAGATTCAAGAAATCTTTTCCAAACCACTGCAAAGGCTTCATATCCGCTTGAAGGAATAGCTGCGACTTTTTGGGAGGTACTTTTCAAGCAAAAATGTCAAAACCAAGTGAAAGATAGAAACACTGTGATCAAGCTTGTAAAATTTCCACCAGACTAGCTGTCAAGAGAAGACTATCATTATTCAAAGATGCATAATATATATAGTTGCTGTAAGCAACAATGTCATCTAGATTGGGTTTTCAAGAATCAAGAAGAAGTACAACAACTTTAACAGGTTTTGAATTTGATTGCTTCCACAGAACCGAACCCACATTATTTGACTGCACTATAGTTCATGTCTATGTTTCTATGTCCGAATAACAGTTTTTAACTTAGATACATTCTGTCATTCTATGATTCTGTCAGGCTACCTAAACCTTCTAAGCCTTGTAGATTTCAACTAGTACTGGAAAAAACATAGTCACATATGTTAGTATTATGAAAAACAGTTTCTGAATAAAGGTGGCAAAATGATGGAATAAAAAAACTCTATAATGCAAAAATGAACTTGTATAACTAGTTGGACTTTCTTGATTTGATATGCTAGCCAAGTCAGTACCAACAAGAAGTTAAGGAAAGAAAAGAGTAGCACAAACTATCAAGGTTTTTTTTGTTAGTTTTTTTATAAGCCAAATAATACACAACCAATGATAGAAAATCCTTCATAAAATACAACTAAAGCTGCATAAGTGAAACAGAAATTCTCAGAGTATCATTCCAGAATCTTGTTGATTAACCAGAGAAGGGGTGAAGAAAAGGTTAAAAATATGAAAGCATGCATCAGCATTTCTTGTTGGATTATTGGTTCCAGTCAGATAGATAAATAAACCAAAGCATTTGCAGTTATGCCCTATTCTTGTGAAGACCAAACTACTCTATTACTTCCTTCTTCCAACAGTAAACGTCGGATCTACGACACTCTAAATTCCCATGTAGACAATGTACAAACCAAAAAAGAGCTGTCTATGTTTAATAATAGTTCATTTTATGGAACTAAGACGGATTATGAACTAGTTACTACTGTTTATTTCATGTACTAATCTGTACCAAGTAACCCTTTTGGCTTTTGGAGTACGTGTTTTGGAGCTTTCTTGACAATGGTCAAAAAAAAAGAAGAAGAAAACACAATGGCATAGCAGATTGTTCTGGTATAAGCAGAGCCAAAAAAAAAAAGAAAAAGGAAAAGGTGAATAATACTGATTGATGAAGGTCAGCACCTGAAAAATGCTGATGACAAAGTACGTACGCACGTAAAAAACTACCACACTCATTTCTTTCCTGAAAGTATAAGAGAGGAAGGTGACAAAAAAAATGACCATTTATAGTGCCCCACTAAATCTGATGCAGAAACCAAGAAATCTAAAGTAAAAAAAAAAAAAAAAAGATACAAAAGGACATCCCACATTTGGACTCATGTTTCTATAATGCCCTTTAGAAAGAGATTCAAAGCCACTAAGGAGGGGGGAAAAATTAAAAAAAAAAAAGAAAATGAAAAGAACCCCTCCTCAATTAGCTTAGTGGAGATGAAGGTCAGAAGATCAAGGTAAAAATATAAAATATGTCCTTAATTGTTTCTCGTACAAAAATATAAATAAATAAATAAAAAATGCTAGGTTTGCAATGATGGTTTTTGTGATTAGAAAATTAAAGCAAATGTAAATAAAGAATGCAAAAGGGTGTGGGAAAATGGGACCTGAATATCACAAAAATGATCTCTATGATCATGCAAAGAAACCATTAAAATATGTGGAATAATTTGTCCTCTCCCATAATAATAGAATAAGTTGGAATTAACCCATTAAAAAGTGTTATTGGCTACCTCAAAAACAATGGCTATCAGTGGGGGTCACAAAATCTGCAAAAATCTGAAAAGATTCCTGACATAAACTTTGAGAATTACTTAAATTATTGCTATAATTAGGACCTGATATGTGCACACAGTAGTACTGGTTCCCCTTCTCTCTGCTTAGTTGATGAACGGATGAAATGTGGGGGAGAAAAAAACAATGGTATATTTCATCATCAGTGACTTGACTGCACTGATCAATGATCATCCCCAGTCAATATTCTTTTTTAACATAAATTAGTTTCTCGATGTTCATACGATGAATTTTCAGGCAACAAATGGCTCAGCCAGAACTTTGTTATGATCATCTTGTTTGTTCATTCAAAAGCGTACATGTTCATTGTTCTAGAGGGTTTTGTTTTTAAACAACCTTTAATATTACCTATCATGTTATTGAATCTAGGGTTCAAGAATGATTCTTGTTTCCCCTTTTAGACATATATCGAATGTTGCATCTTTAATATCCTGCTGAGATTGTTCAGACCAAGTAGATGAACTAAATGATCAAATGATCTAGTGTATACTTTGATCCCATGCAGATCAATGTTTTTTACTTGTGCATCCACATTATCAATCAATCAGAAATTTTGCTTATTAATTAGTAGTACTAATTAATATGATACACTAATCACATTATATTCAGAAAAAAAAAAGACTAATGTATGAATATAGAAAAATGAAAGGGGGAAAATTACCATTTTAATGATTGCTGATGAGATAATAACATTTGATCCGAAATTTAGGAATATGGCAGCGAAGAAGTTGATTCATCATCTCCTCCACCTCTGCTAGAACCTCCACCACCAATGGAACTCTTCTTTTTCTTCTTGTAAGGAATCCCTCTTGCCTTAGCTTGGCACTCCTTCACTTCCCTCAGGTAAACTCTTATTGCACCACTAGCAAAAGGGTTGTTCTCCGGCGAGCCGCCGTTCTCCTCGTAGGCGGCTCGAAGCCGTCCGATGAGGGCATCAAGGCTTCCCCAAGCCTGTCTGAGTGGACAAGTACAAGGAGCCGGCGGCTCAGGTTGACCATAAAAGATGCAACCTTGGAGATGAACCTTAGTCTTTCCGAACTGGTCAAGGTAGCGAAGAAACTCAAGGACATGGTTGCTGTTGCATTGGGAGAGTGGAACTGGTGGCCTTTGGTTCTTCAAGTATTGCCCAAATGTGTTCCAATCCCTTCTCTTTTGGGATTCATACCTGCTTGGAGTATTTGGTGATGATGATGATTGATGATCACCACCAAGTGAGGATCTTGAGCTTGATGATGATCCTTCTGCCATATGGGAAAAATCCCAGATGAAAGATTGGATTTTTTTTTTTCTCAAATGAGGGAAGAACTTGTTTTTTTTTTTTGGATTGATCAAAGTTAAGGCAAGAAAAAAAAAAAATTGGGGAAGTTCAGGTTAAAGGAATAGGAGAAAAATGGGGTGATGAAGGAAGAGGAGGATCACCATCATAGACCTGTTGAGTTGACATGATATGGGCCATCCAAAAGTTGCTTTCTCTCTTCCTCTTTTTATTTTTATCATTTGCTTATGTTTTTCCTATCTATATATGGTCTTCTTTGTATCTTCATCTTTAATTACTGTATATATATATTTATATATATACACATGCATACTAATATGTAACGCTGTTTATGAATTTCTAAAGCGTGTATAATTAATCATACTGTGTTGATTGTTAGTCTTTATGATACGAGTATCATTGTCTTCGGAATTCATTTTGATTTAAAAAATGTAAGACAAATAGTACATAAAAGTATCTTATTAGGATATTCAAATTGGTTATATACTATAGTGGTATTATCATTAACCCTGGGTATAATGCTAGGTAATGTTGCAATAATTGTATGCAGGTTTTTGTCCATATTATATGTCCTCGTCGGCCTAGTCAAATACGTACAATTTCAACCGGGTAGCTTGTGTAAGATAAACATTAATGGCAATAATAAATTCACTGGGTAAACAACAATATTCATCAGTAGAAGGTACACTTTTGATTTAACTTTTACCTTGATTTGTACACATCCTCAAGGTTTGTCCCTATTCAAAAAATTATTTCACCAAAGGTTTCAACATTTTATAATAAGGTCTGCAAAGAATATTGGAACTGAGCACAGTTTTTCTCCATATTAAATAGTTTATACATTCTTGACCCCATGCATGGCCCCTGCAGAATTATTTCCCCCCTCCTCATTTTGTGTCACACTCATATTTAACAACGAAAAATGGTTCCATATATATATATATATATATTTTAATCTCATTTCATACAATGTTAAAGTATACGAGTAGTTTGGACTCACATCTCAAAATCACAAATAAGTGAGGTAGCCTTTAGTCCTTATATATAGAGTCACTTCTCTTCACTGTGACGACAATATAGGATAGATTATATACCTTAATATATCATAAAATATCTTGTAAATACATATATCACACTCACACTGATATAATTAAATTGGAAACACAAAGTTCTTCCACTAATTCTTGTATACAAAAAACATGAACTCAAAACTTGTTACAAGAAGGATTGATTATCTTCATAGCTAAATCTCATATATAATGGCTTATTTTGGGGGGTTGGGGAGGGGGTTGTTGAAGGATGTTGACTATTAATACGATGAATTGAGTGAATAAAAATTAGTGGGAAGGTTAAGGATAGAATCAAAGCAAGAAGATATTTCGTGTTGCAATGAGGGATCAATGGCTGTCCCTTTCAGTTCAAAGTGGAGTGTATATATATAAATGGATGAATCACAGGCTGCACCATATTAGAATATACTTGAAGACTGAGGTGTGTGGGAGAGAGAGAGGGAGTACTGTTTCTATTGGAGACTTCTATTATTTGTCTCTTGAATCTAAGTCTTTGATGTAGTACTGTCACGTTCATGGAAGCAGCAATATTTCATGTCTGCTAGCAGTTCTAATGACTTTATTTCTCACTAAATGCTACCCCAAAAAAAAAAAAAGGACAGGTATTTAATTGTGGGAAGACGACTGATCATATTTTGTTTTTGCGTCGAAAGTGATTGGATACATGGTCTCATGTATACATCCCGATTCAGTGGTGTAACTAATTACTCATATTTAGAAGGATAGACTATATATTAATAGTCGAAATATATGGCCGGACATAGATGATGGGAGTCAACAATGAATACCTCTAAGAGGCTCTTCGGCAAGCCAGAGAGACTTTGTATCTCTAAGCCCTTTAAGAATTCCGCCAGTGTCCGAAGTCACCTTGAAGTTTTGACGTATATTACAGTACTGTTCACCATCAGAGACTAATTTCTTTTGTTCAATAATAATCATTTCGATCGATTGGTAAAACAATTAGTAAAAAACTTAATATTATTCAATACTCATGGCGAGTTGCAAACTCTTGACATGCAGTAAAGGATGGAGAACCTTTTAAGATTTGATAATTGATGCAAGACAGTGTGCATAATTCTGCGGTTAAATGTAATCATTTCGAGACATATGGGATATAATGTTATTTTATTTTTTTATTTTCTTTTTGGCTTTTGCACATACCACAATGTTTATTATGGATAACTGTGACTAATTAATACCACGGTTGCTTTTTAAGTTATTCTCATCTCTTGGAAACTTTCCAAATGAGTTAAAAAAAAGTTTAAACTTATATGGAATGTTTCGAAGAATAATTATTGGCGCTCTTATTTATGGGTAAAGTTACAGTCTCGTTCACAATTTTGAGGCTATGATTCCGTTATTTAATTAACAGTCATTAGATTAATTTAAGTTAATCACAATCCTAAAATTTGCATTAATTGAAAAAATAATAAGAAAATTTTTATAAACAACCTGTAACTATTTAAGGTATATAATTTAATAAGAACCTAATGTCTCTCTATCTTTCTTTTTCCCTCTCTCTCTCTAGCTGATCTTTTTCTTTTTTGTTTTTTGTACCAATGCAATTTCATATTCTTGCCAAAAAAATCGATAAAAATTGATTATTTTATTTAATGAATCATGTACCTCAATTTGTTGGTTGTTGTTTTTGATGTTTACGGAACCAATCTATTTTCTTCTTTGCTTTCAGGAAATTTTTACAGATTTTGGAATAAGAGAAAATGGAAGAAGATGAACTGACTTTAGATAAATGAAAATACTGCAATATTTAAGAAATTTAAAAGATAAAAATTAAACACAAATAAATCAAAAGGTGCGAACATCTTTTTTAATTTTTCTTTTGCAATTACCAACAATATAATTTTTTTAGGTGAACAATGTACTTTATTTTTGTTTAAAATTTTTTAATATTTTCATTATCATTAACACGTAAATGGTAGAAATAATTGGCACAAATTTCTGCATTAAACCTCAGCTTATTTAAAATAGAATTTATCCATTGTCAAATTTAAGTGTGCAATATTTTGTAACAAAGGGCACACTAATATTTATATACATTGTAAAACTTCTTTGGTTGAGAGTACAATACATTGTAATAAAGGTTCAATTCTTAATTATGTAGTACTGTACAATACTTTTTTTTTTTAATAAAAATACATTTCTTCTATATTTATGACTATACTAAAATTAATTCGAATTGTTGATGATGTGCAAAAAATAGCTTATATAGTAGCTAGTGCAACTTTTTTAATGAGATGTGCAATCTATTTTATTATATGTGAAATAACGTACATACAAATATGTCATGTTTAAAAATATATATTATTATGTTAAAAAATTTCAAAAAATTAGCAAATAAAATTCTATTACCTAAAATAATACGTTAGTACTCGCTCAGTAAGGCTTACAAGAAAATTCTACATAAAAAAATTTACTAAATAAAACTTATACAAGAAATGGTGCAATTTTTTTAATCTAATGTGCAATTATGTATAAATATAAGTGCAACATCTAATGAGCAAATGCACAATCACAGGTAGATTTTTTTTTTAATATAAAAATAAAATAAAAAAGTTTAATTAAGAATTATGGAAAGTTTTAGTATAGTGCAAGTGTTTAAAAGGTAACTCAATTGCATCATCAGAAGTGCAATACTTGGATATCTATTATTAACTTACCATAAAAATAAAAGAAAACAAAATATAGTGTAATTAATTATTAATGAATTACGTGCAATTTTACAAACTAATGTGCAATCATATATAAGTATTCGTGCAACACATATAATGGAAAAAGGAAACTCAATTGTTAATTAATGATGATTTTGTTATTTTAAATATTAAAACTTTCCTAAATTATTCAATTTTTTTAAATTTTAATAAGTTTACCTGCTTAGCAGGTCACAAAAAAAATTTAAAAATTAAGAAAATTTAATATTATATTAATGTGTCATTTTTCTATTGATTAAATTTTAACATGACCAAACCCTCAAAATAAGCAACGGGATCTTAGAATTTTCCCTTACTTATTTCAACTTTCAAGGATGATTATATTGATTTTAATTTTTTAAAACTGATTATTATGTACCGAAGTTTAGCCATCATCTGTAAAAAATAGACAATGATCACTATGTTATAGGGGTTGTTTGATTTAAACTTGTGGTTTATGAATACGGCTGACTTTAGTAAAACATTAACCTACTAAATAAATATTTTGTGGCTCAGTGATCGTGAATAGAGTTGGTAATGATCGAATAAACTAATTTCAGTAGAATAGATTTGTTGGTATCAAAATCAATTATGCAATCTTCATTTGTCTAATCACCATTAAAAAAAAGAAAAGAAAAGAAAAATAAGCGCAAGCAAATCGTTGCGTACGCATGCATCATGGATCTTGTTTCAATTTTTTTTTTCCAAACGCAGCCAAGGTAGAAAGATCTTCGTTAAAATATTACTACTGATAGAAGATTTTCCGTGCAGCCATAAAAATCCAATCAAAAAGTGTCAAAATCCCTAATTGAACGTAATATTATCCTCTCTCTCCATCCCCCAAAAATTTGCCCATATATTTTGCTGTAATTTTTTTTAGTCGATAAAAATGATTATTTTCACAAATAAATTTTTACTCTCCTTCTTTGGCTGTTTTTTCTTTTTTTTTTTTCTGGAACAATTGAGTTCTTATTTGCCATGATTTGCACTCGTAGAATATATATACCACAGAGAACCTAGGGTATACGTCAATTTGATGATGGCATTTGACAGCTAAACCAAATCCACGGTCCCCACGAAAAAAAAAATGCAGTTGATAAAAATTTCTATCAAGATTTGATGGTGCATTTTCTATTTTCTGGTTTGTAATAATGAATCGTTACTGTCCACTTAGCTGCCGTATGATGAACAACGTCACTGCTTTCGATCTTAGCTTAAAATAAGCAAGAATTTCGTCTTAAAAGATTTTTAAGAAATTAATTATAAGGTATCAAAATGGTAATTTTTTTTTTTTGTCCCGAAAACAAATATCAAATCACTCTATGACATTAGTTTGAATTTATAAAACGATTCTTATTTTGGAACAGGTAACAAAATTAAGATGCAAGTATTGGTGTCTGAAAATATATACCTAAATGAAGTTGTCGTCGACATCCGCACAGTGTCAAACCTTATTCATTAATCTGTGTAGACGACCTGGCCCTTGGATATATAAAAAATGGTTTCCGACAAGAATATTGAGGAAACAAGATGGATAAAATCAAATGCAAAATTATTCTAAAGCAATTATTTATCAATAATGTACACAGTACATAGCCCAAAAAAAAAACCCAATAATTTTTATAATGGTCCAC